AGCCTTTTGTCTTTCGTTCATAAATTTGTTCGCAAATTCATTAAAACAAGTGTTTTTCGTAAATGTTAAAATTGGTTGAATATCATCGATGATAAAATGAAATCTGTCTATTAGATACCAAAGATAATAAGAAGAAAATGGTTGATATTGGTTGTTGTTGATGCTAATGAGTTAATTTCTCTGTTTCTGGTCAACTGGTAGATTGTTTGATTTCATGTAATTATACATAAAACTGCCAATTGTTTTTTCATCTGTGATAATATCTAAGTTTCTTATTATCGGTAAAAAGTTTATGTAATCATTAATGTATTTTTCATCAATGTGACCCTTTACTTCAGCCACGAATAAAGTATTTTTCTTCTTAATTATTCCCAGTGCTTTTGCTTTCTTTGTTGCTGTATCACAAATGATAACACCATTCAATCTTCCCGGCATATACATTTTATGGTCAGTATATTGAATGAAATCATGAGGATTAGATGAAAATGATGAAGGATATAATGAATTAAAGTCAACACCAACGAAATGAGTCATAATGTTGGTGGTGTCCTCATTTGATACAGTTTTAGTTTCTGGATTATATGAAAGTTTATTAATGTGCGTGATTCCTTTAAGATTACACGATGTTGAACATTTGATAGACCACCAGTAATTCCATTACGGAGAATGTGATAAGCTTCAACTGAATCTAAAGTCATTGGTAAATTATTTTTTAATGCATAATTTCTTAAATTGATTCTTAAACGTTGAACATCTTCATCTTTATTTGATTTTACGACATTGCAATAACAACACATTAACTGACAATTTTCTTTGGTATGTGGTTTTTCATTATCGATTCTATCCAATGTTGGTTTATTTGCATATGTAAACGCTTTACCACACATTTTGCATTTAGATGAAAGGATTAAATCGTGATAGTATTGAAAATCATCCATTGAAACATTATTTTTAGTATCTCTTTCTGCTTTTTCATCTTGTTTCTTATATGATTCAATTTTATATTTCCAATACTTTTTCGTTAATTCAAAACTTGATTCTATCTCTTCCTCAGGATATTTTTCATTAGGATTAAAGTCTTTATATGCTAAAGCGTAACGAATCATTGAAGCATTCGATGATAAAGAAAGATTATGAAGCATGTCAATTTTATAAACAAATGTTTCTTCAATAATTTTATCAATTGGGTCAATCATAATTTCAACATCTTTATTGCAATAATGAATAAAATATTCTAATCTATTCTTAAAGTTTTTAGCATCATTGAGATATATTTGATAATCACTATCTGATATAGTTTCTTGAGTTAATGCTGAATAAAATGAATCTTGAGTGAATGGTTCCACTTTATATAATTCTTCTTCGTAATTTTCCCATGTGATGAATTGATAAGGGAAAAAGGATTTAACACGTGATTTATTGTTTCCGAAATCTTGAGTGAATTGGTCTAATGTCCCACCCGCTATATAATTTCTGATGTCAATAAATCTCAATTCATATGGAACGTTTGTTTTCTTTACAATGATTTGCTTAAATTGAGAAGATGAACCCAGCATTGATTTTATTTTCCATTTTGCAGTGTTTAAATCACGAAGAATTAAATTTAAATCAAACTTTCCCGAATTAAAACCTATGATATTCACTTTATTGAATTCCTCATCTAGAAGTTCTTTAAATGCTTCCTTCTGTTTTTCATTTAATGTATGGACAAAGTCCCCGCCGTTTGGTCCGTTTGCGACTTCATTAATTCTTCATATTGTTCAATATTTGATTTAGCAACTAATGAACAGGTTGAAAATAAAAACTCAATCCAATCAGAAATAAAAGAATCACTCGAAGTTAAGCAAAAATTCCTCGTATATGTTTTATCATTTAATTTAACCGTTGATGATACCATGAATGGTTTTAAGTAAGCGTTCAAAGTTGCACACTCAGAAAGTTGTAATTCTTCTTTAGTCTCTAATGTTTCGAAGTCAAAAGTAATATAATATCTTGTCGGTTGATAATATTCCTGCAAATTATGAGCTAATAACCACTGATATATCTTCTGTTTCGTAATATGTGGTGCATATGGTTGCTGTGTCTTTTGCAATGAACGTCTTGAATTAATCTTCCATTATTTTCTTTACATTTCTCACAATGCTTTAAAAATCTTCTTTGGTTTTTCCTTTCTGGATCATCACGGATAGAATAAACTTCTTCTTTACAATATGGACAAACTCTATAGCCGGTGAGTGCTTCAACGTCTGTTATTCTGTCAGCGTGAAGTTTTCCACATGGACTCTGTGTTAATAAAATATTTACTGTTTCAAATTCTGGATCTATCATTATTGATTCCACTAATGGAAAGTCTACCTTATTTATGTCCACGTCTTCTGGTTGAGGATCACAATAATAGAAATCAATATTAACATTTAACATTCTCGCTAATCTCTCACTTTCTGATGAAATGTCAAACCCTTCATATGCATCTATTGCTTCATTTAAATAGCTTCTACGAGTTTTAGGATTAACACCATCAGGAATGTATAGAAGCGTTTAAATAACCTTCTACCTTCTGCTCTAATTTGATTATCATTCATTTTAGCTGTTCCGTTTTTGTTCATTTATGTAAGAATAAAAAAATAAATAAAAATAAAGTTTATTTTTTAAAGCCCATAAAATGAATTAAGAACACATAAATTTTTATCATCTGCGACGTGACGAATACATTTTAATTTACTCAAGAATGCGTACCCGGATACATTAAATCTAATTCCTGTCTTATTTAATTTCACAACTTTGAAAAGGAATGTATGAATAGCTATAAAATGATGAGAAGATGTTTTATGGGTTGCTTCCATTTTTTCTGAAATAAATGAATAAATATAATGCTTATACGTTTTCATATCTTTTATATTCTTAATAACGAATGGTATAGACCTTTCCACTTCATCTTCCTTCGGTGCTGTTCTTTCATATGAAACATTATTAGTATCTTCAACAATGAAACCACAATCGCACAAAATTTTATATGTTCCAATGGTTTCTTTTGATATTTTATCTAATAAATCAAAAACTTTATCAACACCTGTGCATTTATTTAAATAATAATTTGTGTAAATATCATGATCTTCTTTCTTAATCGTATTAGTTGCATATGTCACGTTTTTAAGAGCTTTTTTGAATTTCTCAGAATCGAGAGGGGGTGAAAGTAAGATACAAGGGTATTTTTCATTATCAATAAATTGTAACTTATGTGTTACGTATAAATTTAGTACCTTCTTCTGAAAGTGTTTCATCTATTTCACCATCTAATAAATTTTGTGTTGATTCTGAGACATAATTTTTATATCTTTCTTCATGAGATTTCTGAACTGCTGATTCTGAAGCTGGGATATTCATTAAACCCTCTACTTCATTTTCATTATATTTTTCAACTTCTCTTAATTCCTTAATTTTTTCATCTATTTCATCTCTTATTTTTTCCAGTCTTTCAATTTCAATTTCATCATATTCATTTTCATCTTTAATCCGTTCTTCATAATATTCAGGGAAAACATCAGGTTCTTTAGGTTTTTCTTCTTCAGATGTGGGATATAAGAAATTTATAACATCATCTTTATTCATTTTTCCATTATAATCTAAATCATTTAATAACTCGGCAAATTTTTGACAATTTCTTAAATAATATTTACTAACTTCATAACACATCTCATCTAATATATCCTTTATTTCCTCGTTTGTGAATCCTAATGTTTTCACATCGTTAGTTTTGACGCTCATTTCATACGAATTAAAAATAAATTATTCAAAAATGTGAGACATGAATGTTTAAAGTTTATTTTTTATTTTTTATTTCATTCATGAAAATAATTATTTCTAATTTCTTTTATTCTCTCGTACATACTAGATTTGAAGAATTCGGAACTTTTACCATAATCTCCTAAATGTTTTCTTATCCCTAACGTGTGCCAGTTATTATATGAAACTGAATAAACTTTATCTTTATCTTTACACCTTTCATCACTTCCAATATATTTATATCTCAGTTTTGATTTAGCATTTTCATATTCATTAGCGTTTAATAATTCACAGTCTTCCTTTTTAAATTGATGTTTAAGATATTCAGGATTTAATACTCTACGTTTATATGCTCCTAACTTAGTTCTAAAGGTTTTTCTACAAAATTTAGGAATTCCATCCTCTTTAATGTCATCAATGATTTCCATTTCATTATTTTCAATTTCTTCTTCTCGTTTATGAGGTCTTTGATTATGACTCCATTGATTCCATGAAATTAAATATTCTTTATCATTATATTTATACCTCATTAGCTTATTTTGGCTTTCATATTCATTTAATAATTCACAATCTTCATTTTTAAATTGAAGTTTAACCCATTCAGGATTTAAACAATGTTTAATTAATCGCGGAATATCTGACATCATCTATATATAGCTTCTTTTATAAAAGATAAAAAAATAAATTATTTTAAAATTAATGTTAATTTTTTAAAATGTGTTTAGTATATAATATTTATTACTAATTTATTTAATAATGTCGCGCTTTCTTACGAATTCATGACTTAAAAAACGTAAGAAAAAATTTTTATATCATCTATATATAGAAGATGTGAAAATATACCTTCATCTATATATAGACGTAACAAAAAAAGTCACACACCCCTTCCTATCCTACTACTTTTCGATTCTGAAAATCATCATATATTCCTAGCTTGGTTTAATAAGCATATATTTCCATTATACATAATCTCATTTTCTAGAAAATAAATCATAGATAATGAAGCTGGTATAAGTTGAGAACTAATATGTGGGTGGTCAGAACCATTAAAATGGCTCAAAATATATATTTACTAGTTCATATCTATCCAATACCTATATGGTAAGTATCCACCGCCAAAAATCCAAGAATATCTGTAAAAATTTTGTTGGTCTAGCTTTTGTGTATTTCAATGTAGATTCAAAATTGAATATCCATATCGTCCAAAATCTTAATTTATGTTTGGGTTGTTTATCTTGCTCGTTTCTTCTATAAATGTAAATGTACCAGGATATTATACAACAGAAGTTTATAACACAGGTAGTACTATTGACTTCAATCTTACATTTTTCAAAAACTATAATTATTATATTGCATTTTGCAAATACCCGGATTCACTTACAATTAACGATCATCAATTAACAAGTCGTATTTACAAAATTGAAAACCTAGGAGCATCTTTAAATATTTCAGTATCCTCACCGTCGACTTTATCATTTGGCGTTTTCCAAGTTCCTTCCAAAGTATACTCACTAGAATTCTTAATCTTACCTCCAGAAACATCATCGTATTCAATAGTAAATAAAAATCTCGGTGAAGAAAACTATTATTTGTTAATCTTGAACGATAATTTAATAGACATTAAAATATCACAAGAAGTTAATGATACAAATATAATTCAATATAGTGTATCAGGCGATCTTCATGACTCAAAAGATAATAATTCATCAATTCCAAAAACTAAAATAATAGCTATCAAATATACTCATATCTTTCATAGGGTATCAAACACAACTTATTTGATCTCAACAAATGCAAATAATAACACTTTTTATGGCTTTGATTCCAGATATCATTCTCTTTTATTCAACGAATCAATTAAAGTTGAAGAAATTCCAGACAATGATGTTGTAACAATAGTTTATGGTCACCATCATTATTCTCTTTCTAGTGAAAACCCTCTTACCATTAAGATTCCAAATGGAACAGCTCTAGTTTTCACAAGATCTTTATATGTAACAGGAGTTGCAAAAACATATGGAGAATCGTTGAATATTCTTGGATCATCAAATATAACTGCTATACAATTTGCAATCAAAGGTAGTCTCACATTGGCAACATATAAATCAAACGCAGATTGTGATTTTATAGTTTATAATGTCTCAAATGTATATTGCTACAATTATATTGTTATTTCAGGAAGTATGAAATATAAAATAAACATATCAAATAGTATGCATTATTATTGTGTATTCTCAGCTTTTACAACTGGGAAATCCATTATTTCCCCGGATCACGACTTTGTCCATCAATCTATAAATACAAATGGAAAAATGAATTATTATGATACTAGTTCTACAATGAAAGTTTATGAACCAGTTATCACGAGGGTTGCTAACAGTTATCACGAAAATGATATTGTTACAATTAAGAATTCGGCAGCATCTACCGATGAAAATTATGTGATTGACGGTAATGTGTCATATAATGCTTTTTATGAAATTGATGGATATTTAGTAAATAAACTCAATGATTATACATATGGAGTCATGAACAAACCAAATTATGAAGTAATATTTGGTGGTGTTCTACTTGCGGTTGGTTTTATTATTTTTGTTGGAATTGTCTTCTTTACAAACCCCAAACGTAAAAGTAAAATTGCTGATTCGTCATTAGATGTTGCATTATTAAATCCTGATTTGGATGAAAAGAATGGAAATAGTAAGCCAATAAGAAAACCATCTCAAAAGAATCAAAAATTAAATTCAAAACCCAAAGAAAATGTCTCCAAACAAACAAAACAAAATAACCCATATTCACCATCAAGTACAATTCAGCATATATATTCTGCACCACCATCAAAGGAAGACTATGATAATCCCTATGATTAATGTTGTTGTTAAAAAATAATTCCTATTCATGACATATTTTTTCTTTTTTTAGATAAATTTTCTTCACTTCTACCACCAAAGGACCGACATAATACATATATTAGATAAATGCATTATTAGATAAATATTTTAGTAAATAAATAATTTATTGTTAAGGGTGCACACGAGAGGATCATGTAAACTTCAGAATTTAGAACCTTATTTTTAGGCATTATCTTGGCTACCTATTTAGGCTCGAAAAGCAAAAAATATCAAAAAATACAACTTGACTCCATTATGACCCTTTCATGGAGGTAGTTTTTATCCGCTAGTATTTTCCCTTTGAATCTCTTTACAATTCGAAATCAAATTCAAACCTCAGTAGAAGAAAGGAAGAATCGACTTACTACGGTTGTAATACGAATAAATACATATATTTAATTATTTTTATTTGCATAATAATTGTTTGAAGCTCATATTCCATCAAATTTTTAAATAAAAACATTAAAATGTTGAAAATGTTCATATATTTTAATAGGGTTTTGGCACTTTATTGAGGAATTACTACATACATAGTCGAACTGAACTTGATATTTTGAAATTTAAATTATTTATCAAAATTAAAATTTAACTTGAAATTTATAATTATTTAGTCATATTTTGCATAATTCTAAGTAGATTTTGTAAAAAATCAAGAAAGAAAAATTTTAACGTGGTTTATTTTTTCTTTTTTATAATAATACATATTATTATATAATTAACATATTCATAATGTTTCACCCTTTCAAAAATATAATCCTCCTCCTCTCAAATAAACGTACATACGGGTGGCCTCTTTTTTCAAAAAATTAAAATTTGAAATTTTGGGCTCAAATATTAGAGATTTTTTCAACCTTCAACGATATATGTTGTCTATATCAGACCTCCTTTCTTTTTGATACTTAACATTGTTCCTAAATCTTAGCCGTTAAGGCTGTTCTGAAAATATTTTTTTCGAAAAAATTCCAAAAAAATTCTTAAAATTCAAAAATCCCTTAATTCCTGAGGATTTTGGAAAAAAGTTTTTACATGAACATGTGTATATTATATGAAGTATATTGATAAGGTAAAAGTCAAATTTTATTGCATATTCATCGAGAAAATAAACTAACGAATCCCTCAAAATTGAGAGGGTAATCCTCCTCCTCTCAAATAAACGTACATACGGGTGCACCCTTAAATAAATATTAATTAAGTTCAATACTCCATTTTATTGGATACATTCTAATTCAGCTGAACTAAATAGAAAATGATTTGACAATAGATTGGAAACTTTTCATTCCTTATTCAAGAAAAAAAATATTTTTTTTGAAGAAAAATTCAATCGAAATTAAAATTTACACTTTTAGTGTGGTCGCATTGTCGCTTCGCTCGAATGCGACCACACTAAAAGTGTAATTATCTAATTTATGCAAATGAGTCAAAAATTTTACTGTGTATGATTAGATTTCCTTTCAAAAAAATTGAATATAACACAAAAAGCTAATGGAAGCGTAAGGCGACTTCTTCCCACAGGCCAGGAATTCAATATTGAAACCGAATCCAACACATTTGTTGCAGTTTACTTCAAACAGCAAGGATATACCAGCGTTTATTACACCATAATTGAAGATTTCAAATCTACATTTCCCAATAAATTAACGTAGGAACCCAATTTCCACGAGTTAGATGCTTAGTAAACTCGTTACCCACTACGAGATATCCTTTCTATTGTTAGAATAAACCATTATTTATCATATTTCGAATTCAATTTTTTTGAATGGAAAATAATCGTATGCTATAAAATTTTTCCATTTGCCATGTTACATAATTGTTATTTAATGCATCCTTATTCTGATTAATATATTTGGGTTGAAAAAATCGGTTACCGATTGGATTGAATTCGTTGATCATGATGGGTAAGGAAATTTTTCAAAAGTGACATATGATCAAAATTTTTGAGAGCCTTTGAATAAAATAAAATTTTCATATCACTTTTATGGCGACAGAAGAGACAACATACGACCTTCTTTCAAGACACGAGGTCATTGCTGAATTCCAAGGCCTTCAGCACATACCATGCAGATTTATGACTTCATTATGCCCAGATCGCTGTGATCATGCAACAGATGTTGCACTTTTCAAGGTTCTCGAATACACAAAATACGAGAAGCCAGGTGAATATGGCGATCCAAAGCATGAAACTATTTATGTCGATGTTAAGAAGAAAGTTTTCAACCAAGATCCAAAGATTCAGGAATATTGCAAGACTTTAGAGGTTGGAAAGAAATATCGTGTTTGTTATGATCATCTTTACCTCAACAGAAATGGTTCAAGATGGCCAGAGCGCCCATGCACTGAAGTTACACCACTCTAATTCGATATTAAGTTATTAGTAAAGTTATTTATATGCAAAATACAAATTTTTCATAGTTCAATGTCTTCTGAAACCACAAATAAATATTATTCCAAAATTTATTGTAAAAATATCAAGCTATCGAATTCAGTACATTGCACGCAATAATTAATATAGTAAAAATCTCTTTTTGGATCTATACTTGAGACATATTGTGATTATTTTTAGAATATCAAATCGATTTCATGGTTTAGGATTAATATAAATACAATTCATAACCTAAATTATCAAGATTGATCTGACTAACATCGAATATTTAATAGAATTCTTGCCATTCGAAAAATAAACAATAATTATAAAATGACAAATCTTTAAAACATGATTAGCAAATAAATTAAAAGCATTATGAGTAGTATCTCTTATTACTTTGAACTTGTGATTCAAGTTTCTGAATTCTTTCAATTTTTTCTTGAAGTTGCTGCTGCAACTGTTTATTTTCTTTTTCTAAAAGCTTAATTTTAAGATTCGCTCCATCTTCAGCATTTTCTTGTAATTGTTCAAGAATTTCGTCTCTTTCTTCTTTTAATGCTGTAATTTCATCTCTATATAAGTCAGCAGTTGGTCTTGTTCCATGTATAGTCATTGTTTGTCCAGTTATCATGTTTCTTCTCAACTCATCTGCAATTTCAGATCTTCTCTGATCAATTTCTTTAATTCTGTCTTTAAGAACTTTAACATTATTTGCGCTATCATATTCTATCTTCAATCTCTTGTTCTCTCCTTTTAGCTGGACAATTTGCAAATTTAATTTTTGAACTGTTGCTTCTATCTCTTCATTATACTTCCTAGCTTCATCGTATCTCCTTGCAAGCTCTTTGTAATCATCAGGAGCACCTTTAGATACCTTAAGTTCAAGAGGAACCTTCTCTTTTCTCAATAATGATTCAATTAATGAAATTAATTGCAATTTGTTCATTGATTCAAGCTTATCCATGTCTACATCCAAAGGAATAGCATCTGCTCTGTTTATCATTTGAGCTAATTCCTTGTATGCTTGTATCTGACGATCCATTTCTGCTTTTTGGGAATCGTCATTTACAATAATTTCAGCATTAGCAAGAATTGACAAATATTGACTTTCATCAATTAATTTATGGGCTAAATCACCTCTAGATACAGAAGCATGTTCAGCAATTCTTCGACTACATTCAGATAAATCAGATCTTAGTTGTTCAATCGAAAGAATCTGCCTCGTCATAGTGTCTGTATCTTCTGGAATTAGTATTCGTTTGGATTTGGATGATCCGGAACTCTTTGGAGTAGAATGTTTTGATTTTGGTTTGAAATAGTCATTAAATAGAATTGTAAGGTTATCGACAGCTTGCGGAGTTTGAAGGTATTGTGGTGAATTCTGAAATACATTCACAAATGTTTCTGTTGTTTTTTGGATTTTCTCGATTAGTTCGTTTTTATTAGGAACACTTGAAAGCATGAATGTTCTAGCAATAGAATCAGATACATCCTCATAGAAACTGTTCGCTAGAGCAACATATTGCTTATCAGTAAGTAAAGTGTTATTATTGATTGCATCTTTAAAAGTACCAAGGTAATTCTTAAATTTTTCGACAGATTTAACGTAAATTGATGTAAGCTTTGATGGGTAGTATTCTTCATTTGAAAATGGACGAGCTGTTTTACGAATTTGAGATAATAATTTAAACAAATCACGAAAAGCAAGAATGTTCGGAAGCCTTTTGCTACTAAATGTATTAACTAATCTATCCCATGATAACAAGAAAGAGCTCTTTTGACCTTGAATGTCACCAGATTTTACTATTTGTTCAAATTTAGCTTGAATGGCAGATAGATCTGCAAGAATATGCTCATCTTCAACTACGTCTATGATTTCTTTCACGTAATCATATACTTGCTCTGTAATATCAGTCATAAGAGATCAAAAACGACTTTTTTATTTTTTTGTTGTTTATTGTAAAAAATTGTGAATTGTAAAATCTCTTTGTATGTCCGATAAAAAAGTTAATCTGACATGAATAATTCTTAACTATCGCATGAGATAACTAATACACATTTCCAAATGGGTTTATAATAAGATTTTATAAAATTCAATTTGAAATCTAAAATGGTTTCAAATAATAATATCCAATTTCATATTGCTAGGTTAATTTAAACATATTTCATTAACCATTTTACATTATAAGTACTTCATGGGTCCAAATCTTGCCTGATTGATATGATCAATTGATTTAATGCTCCAGTATTCCATGATGTTCTAATAATGATTAGATTTTTTGATATTTCATGAAAACGAATATTACTGCATTATCAAGCGAAGTACCATCAAACCAAAAAATACATTGATGGCTCAGGAGCTTTTAGAACTTTACAAATCTACTCTTCAACCAGAATCAATACAATCTGCAACCGAAAAATTACTTTCACTATACGAAGATCCAAAAATAATATTTACCCAGCTTCAATTATTAAATATCACACGAAACCCAATATACAGAGAAGCAATAACAATCGGATTGAAAGCAGTACTTAAAAATCATTGGATAACAATACATAATGATCCAGAATCTCAGCAAATTCGAGGAATTTTAATCGAAATTTTAGCAAGGGAAAGTATTCCGAAACTTCGAACTATGCTGATCGATGCAATTTCAATTATAATCGCAAATGACTTAGAAAATTGGCCAGAATTTGTTGATTTTAGGAATTCATTATCAAATTCTTCTTCAACTGACGAACTTTCTTTTTACTTACAACTAGTTACAGCTTCTATTTCGTATTTACCTGGTAGTTTTATCGTAAACAACGCAGAAAGCATCGGATTTCAAATTTTACGAGGCGTATCATTAAATGACGAATCTGTTGTCAATTCTGCATGCCAATTATTTATTGAATTTACAAATACTGTTAATTTAGGAGAAGATATATCTTTACAAATTGCAGAAAAATTATTAGCCAAAATCAGACAAAATAATCAATTATCAATCTTGTTTGCAACATTGTCAAAGTTCATTGAAACTTCAGAAGAATTTGAAGATCCGAGTTTTATATTTATTGAAATTCTTGAATTGATGGCAAATGACGAAATTGAAAAGCGGTATTTACTTATTGATCCTCTCAACTCTCTCATTAAACGTTATACAATTCAAGCTACCCTTATTTTACAAGAAATTGTTAATGCAGTAATTAGTTTAGGCAATGATTATCTAAATGATGATTGCTATGATGATCAGACAGATTCTCTTTATGTTGCTAGAGCCATTGGAAAATTAGCTAAGAATATTGGTGGAAATTTCGTTTACGAGCTTCTTGAAATGTTTTCATTAATTACTTTTGATACTTCCACAATATTTTTGGTCATGTGTTATTCAGAACTTTTAGATAATGATGCACTCACCATGAATAAATACTATAGCTCACTTTATTCTATGTCATTAGGTTTAATTCAAAACTCAGATCATTTATCAATTGAAGCTTCTCTTACTTTACTTTCACAGTTATTTGATAATTGCATGGAAGGATTTTTCAGTCAACCAGAAGTACTTTTCCAATATGTGTTCGAAGCAGCAAGAAGTGAATGCGAAAATGCTGCAATAAAAGCACTTACTTTAGCTTCGAAAATGATATTATACTTTACTTCAATTCCTTTAACAATATATGATGATATAATTCCTTTTCTTACAAGTCAAATACAAATGATATCAACACCAACTTTGCAGTATAAAGCTGTCATTTGTTTGACAACAATTATTCTTACATGTGGTGAACTTGTCAAAAAATTCGCTGAAGATATCTTTGAGTTATATTCAACGGCATTAGAAAGTGGAAATGAAAATCCTATGTTACAATTGCATGGATTGGAAGGAATGTCCATTTTCATCAATTATTTCCCAGAAATGACACAAAGTGCACATGAAAATTGTTTAAATTTGATATTAGAAGCAATAACAAGTCAAGATACATCAGTTCTTGTTTCAGGATTGACATCATTAAATTATTTAATTAGATCGGGTATTTCAATACTTCCAGATCTCCAAACATATCTTCAGCCTGTTTTACAAGCATTATCATACACAGTAGATACAGAGATGGCTTCACAAGACTTAACAGAATCAGTGAATGAAATTCATCAAACAAGTTTCAAAATTTTGAAGAAAATTTTGAAACACAACGTATTTGATGAAGAATCATTGAACAATGTCATTAACATATCAATGACGGCATTTTTAACACAACCTAATTTCGAAACACAATCAATTGCTTTGTCAGTGTTAGTTTTGGCAGCTAAAAATAATGCAGAATTGAAAGATAAATTATGTGACAAACTTCTTGGATTCATCACAGGATCATCTCAACAGAGATTGATTGCTTTTAATGGTTTGTGTTCTATGGTTTCTAATATTGATGATTTCAATCCAGAACTAATCACAACATCTGTTGATATTGCCATCCAAACACTTGAAGATTTAATTGATGTTCCACAAGATGATGAAGATGAAGATGATGATAAAATGAAAGAGAAAATTATGAAAGATTCTAACTTAGAAATAGAAATTTTCAATTTCTTGCATCAAGTTGCTTTCAAGTTCCCACAACACATGCCTATTGAAGATTTGCATGAAATGCTGGTTACTTTCGAAGAATTAGTTTCACAATTCGATTATGTTGAAACATTAGGAATTTTCGTTGAAATATTTGATAAAAGATACAACGAATTTCCTGTTGTTTTGAGGACAGATATTGTTAAAAGAATATTGTCACAACTCGAAGAGAATGATTATTTATTACCTGCGCATGCAATTTCTGGAATCAGAACAATTATCGAGAAAGAAAACAATGTCAAAGATGAATACTGGGAACAAATTGCTCCTGTTGCAGATTATTTATTTAAAGAAGAGTTTGATGGCACATACTATTTCTTCACAGCTGTTGGATCTTTAATTTCTCTATTGATAACTGTTTACAAAGTCAAGCCACAACTTATTGATGAAAATATCTGGAATGATATTTTCAACAATATTCCTAAATATCTTCCAAACTCAGAATCAGACAACATATTAGATGGATTGTGTCTTGTTGTTGAACAAAGAAATTATCATAGTGAAGAAATGATTAAAGACATTTTATTTGTCTTTCTTTATGTTTTGACATCAAGTGAACGATTCAAGAAGAAAACATTGGAGCTCAAAGATGAAACAGTTCCAAAGATATGTCATTCAGTTCACATTATTTGTGAACGAGATTTACAATGCGATATTACAAATGTTTTTGACAACTTTGAAGATTTCAATGTTAATGCCGCATTAATTGAAAAAGCAATGAATTTGTTGAATCAATACAAATAACAGCATAAACACTTTGAATGTTTGAATATCAAATTTTAACTTTTTTTTATTCAATTTTGTGTTCCTTTCAATGAATCAAATTTATAATATGCAAAATCACTTAATTTTTAAGGGTGCACTTACACCCGTATGATATAACCTTCAATTCTATTTCACAAATTTGTTTGAAAGAGGTAATTGCTTCCTTTAATATACCAAATTTGCACGTCGTTGAAAATTTGTATGTAAATTCATCTCAAAATAATGAAATATTTAATCAATTGTAACAAGTCATGCAATAGTTGTTCTAAATGTAGGGATCCCTTTGGAGAAAAATCATCTCCAACAAACAATTTTCATTCTTCAATATTTCATCATATTTATTCCAAATGTATCAAAAACTAAGATACGATAATGTAGGTATAAAATTCAAAAAGTGACAAAATGAAATGTCAAAAACATAACTCATTTAAATATTGTCACTTTTCAATTTTCTTGATTGAAAATCAATCAAGAAATTTTCTTATATAATGAATAAAATCTCAACACAAAGAAGAATATTCAAACTGATCAAGCACCAAATGATATATGGGAACTTTTTTATGAAACAACACCAAAAAGTTCACCAGTCAGTGGTCAAAACGTTGCGACACAAGTTTCAGAAAACGAATGTTTTCTTTATGATTGCATTTTTATTATTCTTACAACTAATAGTGCCATTTCTTTTGAAAAATCAAACAATAAATTTCTTAATTCCGATTGTTCATTTAATAACTGCAGCAGTAATACAAATGGTGGATCTCTCTACTTTATTTGTAATAGTTCGATTGTCCAATACCGAACATGTGGCTATAAATCAAAAACAAACTCCTATGGACATCATTCATTAGCTTATTTAGTTGATAAATCAAATAATAAAAATTATCTTTATGAAAGTTCATTTTATAAATGCGGTAATTTAGAAAAACAATTTACAAATTTTCTTTATTTTGGAAATATTGAAGTTAAATCAATAAATACAAGTTTCTGTGAAGCATTTTATCACTCAGGAATAGTTCTGAATTCTCCAACTTGTCAATGTAATCTAACTTTTTCATCAATTTGCAATACGACATCACCTAATACAATTATATCTTTTCATAATGGTAAATATATTTTTAAATTCTGCAATATTTTGAAAAATAATCATACAATTCCTAAATCAAAAACATTTTATGATTATAATTCAACTGTTCTTATTGAAAATTGTTCATTTCTTGGAAATATAGGACCAGGCGAAGAATTTAAGGTAGATTTTGGTTTCATTACAGTCAAAAATTCAATATGCGACAAATCAGATAAAACATCTGGATCAGTAACACTGAATAACGTTCAAAATTTGAATTTCATTCATAATCTTTCTCACTTTTCATCAATTCTCTGTGAAACAGAATTTTTCAATTTTAAATATTACTGATATTGAAGGATTTTATCTTTCTTCATACAAATTTCTTTTTATTTTTTGTATAATTTGTTTAACAGGATAAAAGAGCCACTGTATTTCTTTTATGTGTCGAAACCATAAGAATTCAAGCAATCTGGAAGAAGATATCTTCCTATTGAGCATTGCTTCACCGATTTCACTGCATTCAATTTCGAAGTTTTGGATAGTTTCGAGACCAATTAAAAGGTGTAATACTTCAATTTCCTGTTTGTCGCTGTTGATATCGAAACAAATAAAGGGTGAAAATTGTTTGATTATTTCTCTCAATATATGAAAATTTATTGACATATTTAGAATTATGAATATCATTGTAATTAGTGTCCACATCAGAGACAAGTTTGGATCTTTGGAGCCATTAGACTTTTATGACTCTTTATTTCTTTGAATTCTTTTGATTCATGTGTTCCATCTATAGATTCGATGGAGTGTGTGCTTTATTGAGTCAAGTGAACATAAATGTTATGAATTTCGAATTTCATTTTCTTGTCAACAAATAAAAATGAATGTTCCTGTTGTATAACTCAATTGATTTCAACGCCTTAAATTAGATGGTTCAAAGTTCATATAGATAATCTGCATCAATTTGTAGGAATCCCCTATTAATGTTCATGAAATTTTTATTTGGCTGTAGTTAGGATAATGGGAGAATAAAAAAAATATTTTGTCACTTTTTGAATTTCTTGATTGGTTTCAAGAGATTCCAATCAAGAAATTTTCTTATATAATGAATAAAATCTCAACACAAAGAAGAATATTCAAACTGATCAAGCACCAAATGATATATGGGAACTTTTTTATGAAACAACACCAAAAAGTTCACCAGTCAGTGGTCAAAACGTTGCGACACAAGTTTCAGAAAACGAATGTTTTCTTTATGATTGCATTTTTATTATTCTTACAACTAATAGTGCCATTTCTTTTGAAAAATCAAACAATAAATTTCTTAATTCCGATTGTTCATTTAATAACTGCAGCAGTAATACAAATGGTGGATCTCTCTACTTTATTTGTAATAGTTCGATTGTCCAATACCGAACATGTGGCTACAAATCAAAAACAAACTCCTATGGACATCATTCATATGTTGTATTAGTTTCTAAATCAAATAATAAAAATTATCTTTATGAAAGTTCATTTTATGAATGCTGAAATTTAGAAAAATATTGTACAAATTTTCTTCAATATGGGAATATTGAAGTTAAATCAATCAACACGACTTTCTGTGAAGCAGACTCTGAGTCGGGAATATTTCTTTGGTATACAACAAGTCTATGTAATGTAACATATTCATCATTTTGTAACACAACATCACTAAATACAATTATATATTTAGCTTATGTTAAATATGATTTTAAATATTGTAATTTTTTGAATAATAAACACACAAATTCTGGATCTAAAACATTCCTTTGTGAAATCTCAGCAACAGTTCTTATTGAAACCAGTTCATTTCTTGGAAACACAGGTTATGAATTTAAAGTAGATAGTACTTATGGTATTAATTCACTTACAATTAAAGATTCATTCTGTGACAAAATTGATAAAACACTTGGATCAGTTAATACAAATAATGTTCAAAATTTATGTTCAATTCATTATCTTTCTCACTTTTCAACATATCTCTGTGAAGCAGGTATTCACATTTTATGCATAAAGAAGAATATTATTACACATTATGAAGAATTTTATCTTTCTTCATCCAAGTTAATTTTTATTTTTTGCATTAATTGTTTGACCGAATAAACCAACTACATTTCTCACCTTTGTCGTCAAATAATATTTTCATGACTGAATTTAATGAAGCATTAGATGAAGATATATGACCAAAAATGGCATCCATTTATACAATCAATAAATCTTAAGTTTGCACTTACCATCTTTTCATGAAATTAGAATATGACTTATTTTAATAACAAAAATGTATAACAACGATAGTGGGAACTATATAATGTTAATGTTTTTAATATAACCTTTACTGACCAAAGATATGGATGTCAAAAATTGAATGAGTGTCAGAAAGTTGTAAGTGCATCTTTAAGGATGCATCAAATTGTGTGCCTATTTTTTTCAACGGGCGTGAATATCAATTGAGAATTTACTTAAAATTAAGTATGTTGGCAAAGTCAAATCTGGCAAGTAAATTCTTAAGAAAATGTCATAAAGCGGTAAGTGCAACATTAAGGATACCTCAAATAGTTTGGAGGAAATAATAATCCCTTTTCATGGTGTGCTTTCTTACAACGGGCGTGAATCTTAATTGAGTAAACGCATCAATACAATTTCTCTTTTGATTTTTCTAGCTAAAATAAGAATGTATTTAGTGTTCATAACTGTGCCTAGTGAAACAGAAGCAAAAATTCATTTTTCTGGTTATTATGTTTCTTTGAATTTTTAAGATTAATGATTTACATCTATTGATTATGTGAAGTCGGTATTTAATTTGTTCAAGTGAACATCAAAATTAACAATTTAGAATTATTATTTCTTGTCAATGAAAATAGAAATGAATGTCGTGATATATATTTCATCATCGTAAATGGGAGGAATTCGAATATTAGTGTTTTTTTCTTAAGCTATAAAAGGAGTGTGCTTTTTGCGAAGTTAATATGAAGTAATGAATTATTTCGAGATAATCAAATTAAAACATCTTACAATAAATCTCGGTATTTACTGATTTAAATGATGATGATTTCTATTGTAATGATAGTGTGCTTTTTTCGTTTGATTTTTGTGTTGTAAGTCTGATTCTATTGATGATTTTGTCAAGACAACAATAAACTTTAAGAAGACACTCTTTGATAATTCGTATTAGACTTTCGAATGATTTGTTTTGTGTAGATAGTTCTTGCAGAGAGATGTTGATTGATTTTGCAATTGAAACAAAGCGATGACAAGATGTTTCACATTTGGGGTTATCGTATCGTTTCTTGCACTCTATTCAAACAAGGGAGTAATATTGAACTAGATTAATTTGATGAAAATGGAATGTTTGATAGTTGCCATGTTTCTCTGTATGTGCAAAACTCGTCTGTGTTATTCGAAGACTGAATTATATTTGTGTGTATTTTCGTGGCTTTCACTATACATTTTGATGCAGTTATTTTGGTATTGTATTGTATTGTGAAGTTGTATATTGTCATAAACGGAACTTTGTGCTAAGACTGATGTATCAGAGAAAAAGATTACTACTATCATATAATATAGGAAATGTTTTGTAGTTTTAACTTAGTTCTGATTCTAAAGATAGAATTCCTATGTCGTAGTTTGAAATAATATAGGACCTTGTTGTTACTTTTATGATGTATGAAATTTCTTTTTTCAATGTTTTAGATAGTTCCCAAAAATCTTTGCAAAAATAATATAGAATATATATTGCTTTCAAACAAAGGAAAATTTGAATATGAACCCTTAAAACAGTGTTTGCTGAATATTATAATGTGAAATAAAGAAATCGACAATATTTGAGTTCAGTATATTAGAAATATATGTCAAAAATTGTTTTTTCATGTATATAAAGATGATGAATTGACAGAGAAGAAGAATTGATGGAAATGTTAAAAGAAACAATAACTAATAAATGTAATTATGAAGAATAAGAGATGTTCTGAAAATAAGAACTTTTCTCAGAACTGTAATGGACAAGGCAAATGATTTGATGGAAACAAAATGTTAAATCTTGTGCAACAATTTGTCAGAGGCCTCTATTAACGTTCATGAAAATTAGGTCTTGCAAAAGATTAAAGAAAATCTTTGTAATTAATCTGTAGGAAAGTTCCAGACAATAAATTAGTGAAAAAATTAAAATGTTACTTTTTGGATTTCTTGATTGGTTTCAAGAGATTCCAATCAAGAAATTTTCTTATATAATGGATAAAATCTCAACACAAAGAAGAATATTCAAACTGATCAAGCACCAAATGATATATGGGAACTTTTTTATGAAACAACACCAAAAAGTTCACCAGTCAGTGGTCAAAACGTTGCGACACAAGTTTCAGAAAACGAATGTTTTCTTTATGATTGCATTTTTATTATTACAACTAATAGTGCCATTTCTTTTGAAAAATCAAACAATAAATTTCTTAATTCCGATTGTTCATTTAATAACTGCAGCAGTAATACAAATGGTGGATCTCTCTACTTTATTTGTAATAGTTCGATTGTCCAATACCGAACATGTGGCTACAAATCAAAAACAAACTCCTATGGACATCATTCATATGTTGTATTAGTTTCTAAATCAAATAATAAAAATTATCTTTATGAAAGTTCTTTTTATGCATGCGGAAATTTAGAAAAAAGAGCAACAAATTATATTAAATATGGAAATATTGAAGTTAAATCAATCAACACAAGTTTCTGTGAAGCATCTTATCACTCAGGAATAATTTTACAGTCTTCTACTAGTTTAAGTAACATGACATTTTCATCAATTTGTAACACAACATCACCTAATACAATTATAGATTTATATAATGGTAAATATAATTTTCAATTTTGTAATGTTTTGAATAATAAACACACAAATTCTGGATCTAAAACATTCCTTTGTGAAATCTCAGCAACAGTTCTTATTGAAACCAGTTCATTTCTTGGGAACACAGGACCAGGTTATGAATTTAAATTAGATCGTAGTTCACTTACAGTTAAAGATTCATTCTGTGACAAAATTGATAAAACACTTGGATCAGTTAATACAAATAATGTTCAAAATTTATGTTCAATTCATTATCTTTCTCACTTTTCAACATATCTCTGTGAAGCAGGTATTCACATTTTATGCATAAAGAAGAATATTATTACACATTATGAAGAATTTTATCTTTCTTCATCCAAGTTAATTTTTATTTTTTGCATTAATTGTTTGACCGAATAAACCAACTACATTTCTTGCATTTCGAATTAGATGAAGTTATATGACCAAAAATGGCATCCATTCATAAAATCAATAAATCTTAAGTTTGCACTTATCACTTTCTGACATATTGTCATGACATTAGAATATATATGGCGTATTTTAATAACAAAAAAGTATAACAACCATATTACGAACTATATAATGTTAATATTTTTATAATAACTTATTACTGACCAAAAAGATATGGATGTAAAAAAATTGGAGAATGTCAGAAAGTTGTAAGTGCAGAATTAATGGTGTGTTTTCTTAAAAAGGACGTGAATCATAATTAAAATTTAACCATAAACTTCATAAAAATAAAAAGCCACATCATATGTAGGTAAGTGAATTCTTAAGAATTTTGAAGAAAGATGTTATTTGTGTTATATAGGGTGTCCAAAGGTGCGTTTAGCACAGCGCTCTATATGAGACTATTAAAGGAGATATATGCTGATTATAAATATACAATAAAAAATATGAATATATGTATATGATGAGTATGTTGTATTTTGGCGCCATGCCGGAATATAAAATGAATTTTGAGATAAGAGGTGGTTTCGCGGGAAATTTTGGCGGGATTTTTTTCATTTTTTTAATGAATCATAAAGAAAACATCCTCGCTCTTGCAAAAAAATGCAAAGACTGTAAAAAAATCTACGAGACATTGGTAAAATGCTTCGGTATGGATGCTCCTAGCTATTCCACTGTAACGTATCATGTTAGGATGTATCACTTCATGAACAAAAAGGCGCCCATCATAAAAATTGACAAAAAATCGCCGGATCAAAGAAAAATCAAAGCAATTCTTCAAGCGCTAGATGAAGACCCAAGAGCATCACTCAGAAGGATAGAGGAGATGACAAAGATACCACGTACAACAGTCAGTTATTATCTGCACAATTATTTGAACTACAAACTAGCGTATACACGTTGGGTTCCGCACAACCTTAATTCAGTTCAAAAAAAATCTAGAGTCCAATCTTCGAAAGAGCTCCTCTCTATATTGGGTGCGTATCAATCCAAGAAGTTTCGCTTTTTAGTAACAGGGGACGAGTCTTGGTTTCAATATGCAACAGAAGCCAAAATCATGTGGATCCCGAAGGATGAAAATCCGCAAACATTCCCGAAGAAAAAAATTAACACACCAATGATGATGTTGTCGGTTTTTTGGGGCGTGAATGGCATCATCGCAATTGATATTCTTCAAAAACCTAATACGATGAATGCTCAGTATCTAATTGACAATGTTCTTACTCAAATTATCAATTCTGATGAGTTTGAGAAATCCAAACAACAAAAACAAAAGTTTGCAATTCATTTTGATAATTCAAGAGTTCACAAAAGTCATAAGGTAATGAATTACTTGTTGGAAAACAATGTCAAAGTTGTTCCAAACCCAATTTATTCACCTGATATTGCACCCTCTGACTTTTATTTATTCGGCACGCTAAAAAAGAGAGCTGAAGGACGCGAGTCCAGATGATCTTGAAAATTTTGTAAGAGAGCAATTTGAGCAATTTTCTCATGATGATTTAAAGCGTGTCTTTCAAGCCTGGATCGATCGCTGCGAACGCGTGATTGAATCCAATGGTGATTATATTTAAATAAACTTTATATATATGTAACTTGTTTATTTCTATTCGCAGTATTCAGGTTTGTGCTAAACACACCTTTGGACACCCTATATTAAATAAAAACAATAATTTTATTAAAAGATCATACTTAAAGAATGATACTTTCGAGTTCATCTTCGATATTTTCACAAAGATCGTCAAATTCATTGTCGTTACCTGAAAAAAGACAAATATGAACAGAATTGTTTGATTTTTCACCAGAAATGAATTTAATGATGATATCAATTTCGTGACCTCGCGTTAAAAGTAAAAAATCATTTGGAAAAACCCATAGAAAGCCATGTCGAGTTAAGAATGTCTGTAAAACACCCATGACTTTCTCATCATTAGCTTTAGTTTCAATGTCTTTCTCGTTCAAATATATTTCACTAATATTATCTAATCCAATGATAGCTTTTTCCGCAAGTGAATACTTATTCTGGGACAAGGATAATGCAGATGACTCTAATGAGAATGAAAATGATGTAGTTGGACTGATCATTAATGGAACATCGGGAAGAACACGACTTTCCCAGTCAATACTATCAAATGAAATTCGACTTTCTAACATGTAACAGAACATTTTCACTGGTGTGTTATCGTCTGATGTGACTTCTTCTTCGATTTCAGATTCTGTAAGACCAAGTTGTTTCAAAACATCAATAGCCGTATCTGAAAGTGTGTTGATGTCATATTTAGGTAAATCACGTGGAAGAGGTTGTGGAACTGGACATTCGTATTCGTGAATAAGACCACGACGGAATGCAGGATGTTGTTTGATCTCTGATAATGTGATTCGACATTTAGGATCAACTTGTAACATTTTTGAAATTAAATCTTGAAAATCGGATGAAAGATTTGGCATAACGTACTTGCCAACTTTGACTTTGTTAAGAAGTTTACGAACTGTTGGACCATCAAATGGTAAAAAGCCTGATAACATATTATAAAATAAAACACCACAGCTCCAGATGTCGGATGCACATCCATCGTATGGAAGACCTAGAATGATTTCTGGTGCTGTGTAATGAGGAGATCCACATGATGTCATTGATTTTTTCTCTTTGATAAACTTTGCAAAGCCAAAATCGGCGATTTTAACGTTGTAGCATTCATCAAGAAGTATGTTTTCTGGTTTGATATCTCGATGACAAATTGAATGACTGTGTAAGAAATCAAGACCATAGATGATTTGTCTGAATAATCTGATTGCAATCTCGGGTGATAATCCTCGCCCTTCTGTCATGAAATCGAAGAGTTGACCATTTTGAGCGTATTCGAGAATAATATATAAAAATTTTGAACTTTCAAGAACGTCAATGAGCTTTAAAAGATGTGGGTGATTAAGTAAACGCATCAATGCGATTTCTCTCTTGATTTTTATAGCTATATCTGGTTTCGATTCGAAAGATGATTTTTTTAAAATTTTAATTGCAACTTTTTCGCCAGTATTTTTGTTTTCTCCTAGTTTCACCTTTCCAAAAGATCCTGCTCCTATTGTCTCATGAATGATATAATCACCTATTTCAACTTGTGTATTTTCCGCATCCATTCAATATAAAAAATTACTGATTTTAAGCATTGTATCAAAAGAGTCAGCATAATAGCTCATGATTATACTTTGGTAGTTCTTTATTTCTTGAAATTTAATTCAAAATTTTAAAAATTTAAACAAAAATCAATCTTTATAAAAGAAATATATACAAATATCATGGTAAGAGTATTAATACAAGAAATTAGATCACTTTTTGAGCAGTTTCAATTGATTCAGTCAATTCATCCATTCCTGCAAGTTTTGCAAAGAACTTTACGTTCTCAAAACCACCAATATCATTTTCTTCATCACTACTTGTATCAGAACTACTGGAATCTGATAGAATTGCGATATCAATTGAAACAAATGGCTCAAATGATTCGTTTTCAACGTAATCTGATGAATCATCACGTGGTCGTTCACCTCCATATGCACAATTCCTCATCTTTAAGTGCGGATCTATAGAATTGATATGTAATTGTTTAAATTCAGGGGTAATTAGGGTAGAAACGCCATATAATGACTCTGCAAGTGTCCATATATAAGGATTTGTCTTGCAAATCTCTGTATGAAGGATCCTTTCCACTAAATTGAACTTGGTATTTAAATCTATTAATTTCTCGTGGTCTAAAAATGGTAAACTCTTAGATATCGCATTGGAAAGAGTAGAAAGAGTGGATTTTTCGAACAACAAATTGACATATTCATCTGGAAAACGTTTAAACACCGTAATAGCGATTGCTTGTACGTAATCTTTATGTTCGTTGAACGCGAATTTATCGTAGTAGCTATCGATGGCTTCTCTTGTTAATTTGTTCCTTGAAAAGTTTGATATTTTATCAATAACTTGAAAAGTCTCGAAAGAAACTAGCGGATTACCAGGTTTAATTGCCTCATCCAATAGAATTGATACTACTTCTGGATTGTCAAAGAAAGGATACAAATCCTTTTTACATTTCAACATTTGCTTCATTATTGCGGCCGTACCGAGTCCATGTTCATTATGTATTGTTTTCGCAAATTCGATAATCAATTCTAAGTTGACTCCAAACGGAATCATAAATTCAGTAGTTAAAACAAGAAATAGCTCTTCATAAGCAAAATAATACATTCCATTAATTAAGAAGTTCGCAAGATCAGGAAGATCTTTAATAAACTCTCCATTGGTTTTCCTTATTGTTGTTTCAACGATTTTGGAATAATTTGTAGCAATATTGGGCATTGTAGCATATTTAGTATTCGGAAATTCCGTGATAAACTTTAGGAAAAGTGGATTATTTCGAATTCTTTCTTGGGTATCTTTTGAATAAGTTGTTAAAAACGACAATACATTGGATATCATTTTCTTTGTTAAGCCATCGCATTTATCAGTAAGAGCAATATCTAATATTTGTGGAAAAATCGTATCGGATAGTAAATATTCTGTCAATTTTGGATTTCCAGTCTTCACAGCTTGCACAAAGCTTGGGGTAGCTAGAACATCCTTAAGTATCGGGTTTTCGGTAAGGAGGAGTTCATCTAGAATCTCCTGCCTGGTTGTTTCCATTTGGATGACCTATTAATTTTGAGAGGTTTACAAAAAAGATTTCTATGAGTTTTGTGAGAAAATGTAAAAAATATATTATTAATAAAATTAGTACTCCTTTATTATAACGCATGAATTTCACATTAAAATCAGAAAAGAAATTGAATAAACCTGAATTTTTTACGTTCAGAAAGCTGTAGAATTCCAAATGCATATGTTTATTTAAATAATAATAATTCTCCAAAAATAAATGTTCATAAAATTATGGCAATAAAAAATTTCGAACTCATCGAACTAATGCTCTCATTAGTGCTTTTTAAATAAGAGTGATTTTAAGAGTTTTAATCGGATTTCAATATTTCACATCAATACAAAATGCATTTCGGAATTAATCAACATAATATTATTGATTCCTACTTTAAACTACATGAATATCATTTGTTAATTAGTCTGAAAATCATTTCTTAATTTGAAGAATATATTAACCTAAGGAACCGTCCACGACTAATGGACATTGTGAATTTTACAATCATCTAATGTGTTTCATTTAACTAAATGATCAATCAATATATAAATAATAAGTTATTGCTCATATACCAATAAATTCAAGCATAATTAACTATCGGCACTAAAAGCATAGCTTATGTTGATATAAATTCATCGCATGAATTAGCATCTTCATTAAATAGACAAAGAAATATTTTTTATAATTAAATGATTATACTCATTTTCAACAAACATAAAATGAATGTTGGATTCTTTATATCAGTTGAAATGTCTTTTTCTTGATAAATATCAGTTTGAGTTCTATCACTAAAATATTCAATTTATATAAGCCGCAGAACAACTTTAGAAAGGATTTTAAATATTATTTTGACTTTATAATGTACTATTACATGGAATAACACCTGAGACCTATAGAATTAGGTTGATTGAAATGTTTTTTAGTAAAAAATGAAATACTGATGCCAGGTGGAAGTACATCTTTTATTAATTTTCATTTTCAATTCTATTTCCAGAGAGAAAAAACTCATTGCTGAGATCCAATGACAAACTATCATCATTCTTCAACCTGACAAAATTTTTTCTAAATTTTATCCTAAAATGGAGGAGGAACTCAACGTTATCCTTAAGAGCCTCCTCGACACGGACAATGACCAACGGTCCAGTGGTGAATCGGCATTTTGGGATATGACTCAGAAAGACCCTCCATCTGTTATTCAAATTTTATTTCACATTATAGAAACAACAGATAATAATACAAGGCAGATGTTAGCGTTAATCTTGCTCAAATTGATATTCGCACCTTTTAAACAGGAAATTTTCGATTTAATTCCACTTGAAATTCACACATTTATTCAAGAAAAGCTACTCTACCTATTTTCATCAAATATATTTCCTGAAATCAACTTAAATTACTTGTCAACAGCTGTTGCTACTATCGCTTCTGTTTATATCAGCTTAAATGAGTATCAAAATTTTATCCCTTCTTTGTTTCAGATTATATTGAACTCCACACCACAGCTTCGAGCACCAGCAATTGATTGTGCTGTACAAGTTATTACAAATTTCAAAAATAACCTAGAATTAGATCAAAATCAAACGTTTCAAATAATTACAATGGTTTTACAAGATAATTCCATACCATCAGCATCTGTTGCCGTGATGCGCTTCTTATATACTATCATTCCTGATGGCGAAATTCCACCTGAGTACCAAGAACTGGCTTCTGTCATAGTTCCATTGATATCTCAACTTGAAAAAGATCTTTTATCATCAATGTTACTAAATCTTGCAATTTTCATTGCAAAAAAACCAAAATTTGTTATTCCAATTTTGGATTCACTTGTTCAGATAGTTTTATCAATAGCAACAGATCAAAACCAAGATGAAGGTGCAAGAATAAACGCGATAGAAGTGATATCTCAAATCTGTATTCGAATATCAGAAGAAAATAATTATTTACAGCACGTAATCGAGTCGATGTTCATGATTATCACAGAAACAGACGAAACCCATTATCCTCCTTACGAAGACGAGACGAATATCTCAGATATTGCCCAACAATATTTATTATCTATTGGATCTGTTCAAAATTTACAGCCATTGTTCACACAGATCGTTCTACAGATAATTTCAAATAATATAGAATCATCGGAATGGAATATCAGATACGCATCCCTCAAATCTTTGGAAAGTTTGATAATTTCTTCTCACAATTTCATTGAAGAAAAAAGTGACATTGTATCGTTGTTGGTTTTACAATTTCAAGATAGTTTTGCTGTTTGTAGGGTTGCCGCGTTTGTTGCTTTCTCGCAAGCTGTTTTATACTTCAAAGATAGTGTAAAATTTTCAGATTTAATTGAAAATTTTATTACAACGATAGAAAACGAAACAATCGAAAAAGCATTGATCGCAGAGATATTTTCACTCAGTTTACTATGCGAAAAGTCTTCTGTTGATGATCTAAGATCGAGTTGTGAAACAATGATTCCGATCTTCATAAATTTATCGGAAAATGCAAATCCTATGAGGATGAATGCAATACTTAGATGTATATCAAGCTATTTAAGATCATTAAGAAACGAAATGGGCGATTATTACTCGATTTTGATAGAATATCTCAGAAATATTATAGAAATAGAGAATTCTGAGAATGACATTAATGTTTCTTTACTCAGAGCAAGGGCTATAGAGTGTTTTGGCTACTTATTAAGTTGTATTCCTCATGATATCTTTTTTAATGAGGCAGATTGGTTTGTTTCAAAGGTAATTGGCATTGATTGGAACATATTCTCAGAAGATGAGCTTATTCAGATCCAAACAACGCTCTCAAGGATCGTAGTTATAAGTTTAGGATTAGATAAGGCAGAATACGTTGGCCCTGTTGTTGAAAAGCTTCTAGAAGCTGTCCAGAATCGACCAAAGTTTGCTAAACATCAGCAATTCGATCCTTTCATGAAGAATATCTCCCGAGAGAAAATTAATTTCCTTTTGGATTCGATTTTCATGGAAGTTCCCAATGACCAGCTCCAGGTCTATGAATCTGCACTATCGAATCTCAAATATATCATGAAAAACTCCGGTCAATTATTTGTCCAATACATTTTACGGTTTTGTAAAGCTGCAGCACCAGCCTGTTTTTACTTTCCATTGCCACAGACTCAGATTATTGCTTTACAGTGTCTTAGAGAGTCATCTTCCGTTTACACCCGTTACAGTTCCGTTTCGAACTCGTTAGCCTTCATTTTACACATGAACAGGACACTTTTTTGGATGTTCGACCAATTAGAACTGAAACCCCCTGTTTTAATCGAAGTTTTCAAGACATTGGCTTTTTCTTTGCAGACATTGATAAGAATCAAGTACTCCGATGACGATGAAACTGTCAACGAGATCATTGAACACATTCCAAGTGCTTTAAATGCAATAATGCAATCAGCCGAACAAAATGGAAATTGTTCTGAAATGGAAAACGGTTTGACAGATGTTTTATTGCTATTATTCCAACATTTTCCACAAAAAATGTCTAGTTATTTCATAGATAATTTATCGAACTTGCTTCCAATGGACTCCAATTCCCCTTCCATCCTTTCTTTGAACTGTTGGACAGCAATGTTAAGAATTGAAGAAAATCAAACTTCAGAAAAAGTGACAGAAGTATTCAATTACATTGTTAGTTGTATAGAGAATAACAATATCCATGATTATATGATTATTTCATCTGCATTCTTCTGCATGGGAACATTGATTGACATGGAAGTTCTCGAAGAAGAAAAAATTAATTTAATTATTTCGATTTCATTCAGTTCTTTGGATAATTTCGAACAAATAGAGAATGGAAAAGAAGTAATTGACGGAATTATTTATTTATTGACTTGTATTATTAATGTATATGATGAGAATTGTTCTCAAGAGATGATATTTAGATGGTATACACATCTTCCTTTCACAACTCCAATTATAAAGAGCCGTTCTGTTTATTTGACACTCGCCGACCAATTATCTCATGATTATTTGAATGTTTTTAAGTGTGCGAATCCAGAAAGGATCAACGAAGATCCTCATAATGATCCAATGATTTTGTTACAAGGAATTCAAAAATTTGTTGAAATTCTGATTAAAACATTCAGATCAGAGTTAATTGACATGGAAATTGATCAGAGATTTAAAGGAATATATACTGATATAGCTAATGATCCTTTAACTGGTCCTGTTTTATCAATGATTGTTTCTCAATTAGATCAAGAATATAGAGATTTGATTCAGAATTACCATTTATCATGATTTATATTATATTTTGTTTTGTATTGTTTATAAATATTATAAAATTAGACTTTACTTTTTGTCTATTTTAATTTAAATTAAAAAAGTGTTGAAGTTCTCAACTCGCACAAGGAATTCATTTATTTTGATGAATGATCTTGTTGATTTTAGCTTCCCTAAAGATAATGCTTCCTCTTCTTATTCAACTGGATTGTAAGGATTAATATAAGAAAGAATATGTAAAACAATGAAAAATATTTTGAAAAACCAAGCATTTGTTGTTCAAAACGATCAATTGAACTTGCTTTAATTAAACAAACAAATGTTGATGCATTGTTGTTATAAAAAAGCTCTATTTTCTTGATGTTAAGATAAGATTTGCAAAAAAGAGATCAAATATCAAAATATGAAAAAATATAACGCCTTATGAAAAGCCCTACATATATGTGAATGCAAAAATCACAATAATAGTTCCAAAACTATATTTGTAAATTGGTTTAAAATGTTAAAAATTAATATAATAAAATAAAAAATGTAATTTTTCAAAATGAAATTGTTAATTAGTAAAAAATTGAATTACATATTACGATTTAAAATTAATGTAGATTCAAAAATATAATTATTAATCTGTAAAATTATATATTTCTGTTAATTTTATTGATCTTTCTGCGTTTTAATCAAAAATTCAACCAGCCTCGTTAAAATTATATATGTGCGCGAATAAAATAGGCATTATGCAGTTAAAATATCAATACGGATCTGAATTTTTCAGTCTCTCCAACGAATTTTCAAATTTTAAATGTTTGAACCAAAATGCGATCATTTTTATATACTATTTTTGAACTATAATGAGTTTCAAAAAATTGATTTTTGCGGACATGACGATAACGATAATTCTTATTTTCTCATTCAATTTTTGAATTTCATTGAAAATTTATTGTAGATAATTAACTAAGGGTTTCGTTTTGCGAAAAAAACGTACAATACGCAATTTCGCTAAAAAACATTTAGCTAGCAATTTCGACCTTTGACTCCACTCAAGACGTCACTTTTTTAATTTTGCGGTATCATATTTTTGGAAAATCTTTATGAATATTATATAAAAAGTCTCTTTAATATCTATATTTCATATTTTTATCGATTTTTAAAGTTTTTGCGAAAAGTATTCAATTAGTTTTGCTATTTGGTCGGGTAAATGTCAGATTTGCGACATTTTCTGATATGATATTCAGATTCACGTTGATAATAATGCTTATAGAACCCTCTTGCTATTGTGTCAAAATTGCGAAACCGATAGCAAAAATATCTCGCAATATCAAAATTGAGATATTGAGTGAATTATGCATTATAGAGATTAAAAATCTGATTTATGAAAACATCTCATCAGTTTCTAGCTAATTCAAAAATCTTTACTATCTTATTCGATTAAAATGAAAAGGGAATAGTTTCATTATGCTTTAAATGACAGCCTTATAATATAATCATAGTTTTCGCTCAATATGCAGCATTTTTTTTCGAAATCTATGGTCAATATCCTAAATACTGATTGCTTTGCATTCATATCTCTTACATTTTCTATACCCACATCACTATTCATTGCTATTCCTATCTTTTTCATTTTTGTTTGTTTCTCATAATTTCTCAAAAAACATGATAACTTGATATTTGTAAATATCATACTTTATAACGTAAATAAGAACTTGACCTATTAAGAAAAGCAGTAATGAAAAGAAAATCTGAAATTCATAAAAATTACAAGTTTCTGATGACAATTAGCTTAATTAAACCAGGTACAAGATTATATAATTGTATTTTCTATCCAATTATCCATATAATATCTTATCCAGAAAAAATAACTTGATCAATACCAAATGATTTTTTAACTAGTAAATAAAGTATTTTCTTTACACACACATTGTATATCATAGTTTTTTTTTTTTGGTTTCGCAAAACATCCAAAAACAAATATGCTATAAAAGTGACAATTTTAGCAAAACGAAACCCTTAAATTAACCATACAAGATAATATGTTGAATAATTTTTGATAAAAATTAAAATCTTAAGATCGATCTTCTGAACAAAAGAAATTATGCTGTTTTATCCATGCCTATTGATTAAATCTATTTATGACTACACAAACGATGATACACTCGTTATTACAGAAGGTATGGATCAGACCAATTCATATCAATATGCAAATATTAGCAATTTCTCATCGATCATTTTTCCAAACTCATTAGTTACAATCAATGAAGGATCTTTTTATAACTGCACAAGTTTGCAAACTCTTGAATTACCTCCAAATATAAAAATTATTAAAGAATATTCATTTTCAGATTGCATCAATCTAAAAACAGTAGCATTTCATTCAGACATAACAACAATTTCTAGCTTTGTATTCGCAAATTGTACTTCTCTTGAATTAATTCAATTTCCATCTTCGTTGGAAGAAATTAAAGAAAATACTTTTTACAATTGCATTAATCTTGGTAAAATATCATTTCCAGATAATTTAACAAATATTTGGCCTAGGGCATTTTATAATTGCATAAAATTAACTTTTGATTCTTTGCCATCAACATTGATATACATTGATGCATATGCATTTTATCATTGTCAATCAATATGTAGTATTGATTTTCCAATATCTACTAACTTTATTGGTGATTCATCTTTTTCACATTGTTCTCAATTGGAGAAAGTAAGATTTTTAAATTCTTCAACTAGATTAAATAGCCAGGCATTCTCACATTGCGAAAAATTGTCTGATATTCAACTTCCATCAGAACTTCAATTTATTGATATGGAACTTTTTTCATTTTGTACTCAATTGACATCAATTATCTTACCTGATTCTGTTAACAACATAGGCTATAAAGCCTTTGAAGAATGCATCAATTTAAAGAGTGTGAAGTTTTCTTTAAATCTTGCAGATATACGCCATTTAGCTTTTATAAATTGTTATTCATTAATTAGCATAGAACTACCAGAATATCTCGAGTTTGTTGGAATTTTCGCTTTTTCAAATTGCACCAGTGTTAAAAATATTACTTTTCTGGGTCGATCAACAATTATTGAAGATTCTTGCTTCAATGGGATGACATCGTTAGAGAAGATTATTCTTCCAAGTAAAATGGTAACTATTTCCGCTAAGCTATTTTATAATTGCATAAATTTGATTGATATTCATATACCAAATAATGTTACAATGATTCAAAGAGAAGCTTTTAGTGGTTGTCAGGGTCTTATCAAGATAGAAATTCCAGATTCTGTTATAAAAATTGAATCATTTACTTTTTATAATTGTTTTGAACTTCGAAATATATCATTATCAACATCTATCACTGAAATTTCTAATGGTTGTTTTTGCAGTTGTCACTCTCTCGAAACAATCATCATAAATTCAAATAAATTCATCTCAATTGGTGTATCTTCTTTCCAGAGTTGTTATTCATTGAAATCAATAGTATTCCCTGTTTCATTGCAAACCATCAAAAAACTTGCATTTTCGAATTGTTCTAATTTGACTGAATTGAATTTCCCAAATTCACTAAGTGAGATACATGAAAATTCTTTCTTTAATTGTATATCATTAATTCGTATAAATATACCAAAAGGTCTTAGTTTGTTAGGAGTCAATTCATTCTCTAATTGCACAGCTCTGAAAGAAATTATTATCGAATCAAACTGTTCTATTGATCAAAGTGTTTTCGAAAATAGTAATATGATTGAGCATTTAATTATTTATCATCCAAATGAATATATATTTAAACAACAAATCCTATTATCTTCAGTCAAATCTATCACATTTAATCTATCAATTGAAGAATATCCATCACTCGTCAAATATGAAAATCTCAAATATATTTACATCTATACTCAAAGACATAAAGCAATAATTAAAGAATACTTTACACCACCAAAGAAAGTTAGTGTTAATATTATCGGAAATATGAATAAAATTGATGAAAAATCATTTGTAAATAGTCACATAGACAGCTTTTTATACTGTGGCAATCAAACATTAGAAGGCAATTTCCTTGTAAATGCAAAATCATATAATAATATTACTGTATATAAGTACTATCCTAAAAATTCAATTGGAGGAGTTAAAGTTAAAAAGACAAATAGCTGTCCTAATTTTCATGAGATTGAAAGACATATACTATCCAAACTTCATATTATTCTAATTGTCACTTCTTGTATTTTTGTTGTTATTGCTCTTATAATTGTATTCGCTAAAATCCAATGTGCTCATAAGTTAAATAAGAAACTTGAAGGAAAAATGCTAATGCAAAGACTTGTCGTTGAAGATTTTGGATAGATTTATACGACATAATAACTAGTCATTTATCCAGTTATGAAATACTAATAATACATTACTTATCATACTCAGAGTAGAGAAATTAATCTATACTGCTATCTTTTATATAATAATATGTAATAAAATTTATTATTTATTCATTATTTCATAAATTATTGTTAAATCACACTTTCTATTAGATTATTTTTGAAATCTTTTTTTGAAATACAAAATTTTAAGCCAGAACATTAATTATGCATCAAAACTTTAGGCGTACATAATCATTTGAAGCGGACATAACCATTTAAAATGCATCTTATTTGTGCTTTGAATTTTTCCTGGTTTCTAGTCCTGAGTGTAAACATAAATTAGGGGACAAAAACTTGTATCTCAATATTGCATTAATTTTAGCTTTAAGTTCTTGCAATGTCATCAAAAAATATGAAAAATTTCGTAAAAATTTATTAACTTGAGCTTTAGTCAATGACAAATAATAACTATTTACTTTGTGAACTTTAATTCTGTCTTTGTAATCTTCATTGAGTGGAGTCTTGAGAGAATCTTTCTCAGCCTGAGCGCACATAACGATCATATCTGTTTCACCTGTGTTCTTCAAGTTTCTGGAAACACCTGGAGCAACTCTGATTGATGTTCCCTCCTTCATTGGGATGATCTTTTCATCAAGCTGCATTTCGCCAGAGCCAGAGATGACGACATAAACTTCTTCGTGGTTCTTATGGTCATGGAAGAATGGAATTGCCTCTCCTGATTTGTATTTTGTGAAGGAAATTTCCATTGAAGATAAATTAAGGGCATCATGTAAGAAAGCCTTGCTGTGCTCATACTTTTCGAGTTCACTGTACTTGCCAATCTCAACGGCTGTATACTTTTCCTCGTTGACGATCTTCTCCATAACTGTTCTGGTGAAAAATGAAGTAAATAAAAGTTGCGATCAAATAAATTTCACATCACTTCATTATTTTTGTGTTCTTTTAGGAATATTGATATACATAGTAAGTACATTATTAAATTTATCGCAGGTCAATTAGCTCTCAAAATTTGAATGTGTCAAATTAGCCTCCTCCCTTGAATTTTATTTCATCGTATAAATTCAATCCTTCTTTTAAAAATTTGATAGAATTCGGCCGATTAGGATAACTCAATCAAACATCTTAAGAACACAACGTTAAATCAAATTGCAAAATCCTGAAAAATGAAGAAAATCGGAATTATTTTTTAAAATATCTAAAATTTTTCATATTGTCACACGGAATCATTATCTATTGTTTAAGCATTATCTATTTTCGCTTTAATATATCATTTTTGGAAATTCGTATCTTTTCCGAATTTGGTATTCCAGAGAGGACCTCCTATTATTAGGATTAGAATCTAAATAATTAAACCATTCGCATGGAAACAAATGCTAAATTCAAATCATCTTTTATTACAAAAAGTCGCTTTTATTCACTCAAATTATTCAGACCATTTCATGATTTGAAAGTATCTTACTATTCAATTCTTTTTAAGTAACTCTTTATCTTTATTATACAGATCATGCGCGATTAGCTTTTCAATCATAAAATCAGAGAATTTCGAATTTATATGAAAAATTAGCTATTTTGGCAATAACTCATGATAAATGTACATTATTTAAGTTTTTATTTTGTTCATAAAGATACGGCTATTACAAAATTGGTTTTTAGCCATTATTTTTTAAAAATTAGCTAAATAAAAATCAAATGATGAACACAATCCATACATTTAATTTAAAATTCAGAAAATGATTGATATATCTTTCTGATATTGTATTGATTCAATGAATATCTTTATATAATTTTGGACTCTAAAACAAACTTATTTATTGTTTCAATTACAACATAATATATGATAAAATTGTCAAAGCATTTATAATAAATGAATTTTTATTATGATAAAAATTATTTTTAGTTATTTAAAGATAACTAAAAGTAATTACTTTGTGAACTTGAGTTCTGTCTTAGTGATAAGGTAGTCACCAGATGTTGGAGACTTAAGAGAGTCAACTTCAGCTTGGGCGCACATGACAATCATGTCTGTATTGCCTGTGTTCTTCAAGTTTCTGGAGACACCTGGAGCAACTCTGATTGATGTTCCTTCCTTCATTGGGATGATCTTATCATCAAGCTGCATCTCACCTGTGCCTGTGATGACAATGTAAACTTCTTCATGCTTCTTATGATCGTGGAAGAATGGAATTGCCTCACCTGGTTTGTACTTTGTAAATGAAATCTCCATTGATGTGAGACCAAGAGCATTTTGTAAGAATGCCTTACTGTGCTCATACTTTTCAAGGCCACTGAAGCTACCGATCTCAACAGCTGTGTACTTCTCTGCGCTGGCGATCTTTTCCATTTCTGCTTTGTGAAAAATGAAGTCAATTAAAGTCTTTCCATCAACCATTTTCACTTCAACTTACCTTTTTATTTTAATTTCGAAAATCTTGCTTTGATTTATATATACAATACATTTTAAAACATATATTATTTCTTCTGAAATTTTGATAGTGTCAAATTAGCCAACCCCTATTCAATTTATTTCCATCGTATTTTTTGAATTGCTTTTTCAATTTTTTATGCTTTTTATTTAAAAACGAATCAATATAATGCCTGCATTATTATTTCTTCCACAGGTCAATTCTTTCTCAATATTTCAGTGTGTCAAATTGGCCAACCCCTATTCAATTAAAAATTATTTATATAATATCTGATAATTCAAAAAAATAAAACGATGCAAACATTAATATTTCATTATGTCATGTAACAAATAGTTGTTTCTTTGCTATTTTTATGTTACTTATTAAGTTTAAACTGAAAAATACTTTTTCTTTTCCTACTTTCCCATTTTGCTTCAAAAAGTCGTGATTTGAATTCTTTCCTTTTAAAATTTGTGAATGGTACCAATCTATCATAGATACTCTTGATAAATCAAAAGCATTTATATATCTAGTATTAAAATAATACATGTTTAATATAATGCTAAGGAAATGCTTTATAAATCAATAATTATTAGTGTTTTGATTTAAAATTTAGTTTTTATTTGCATTTATTAAGATAGAAATAGATATTTGTTTCGACAAAACATTCTGGATGTTCGATTTCGGTTTGTTATTATATAAAGTTATTCTTGTTATTTTACCAATAAATCTTATATTCTCAATGATTTTTCATAAATTAATTGGTCTTTTATCTTCTCTTGTAGAATCTATTCTTTTCATATATATTATCTTTTCGAAGGGGTGGTTTATAAGATTGGAAACTTATTACAGGATAGTTTCCTGAACAATTTCCTATTTTTTCGTAATGTTCAGGAATTGATTCAAGCTGGTTTATTATTTGATATTTATTATGTCCACATGATGTTACAAGAAATTCACGATCACCGATATATGAGTTAAATATATATAGATCTGTCTCGGCACATATATTAAACAAATAACAATTTTCATCATTGTTTAAATCAAATATACAATTTGTTATTTTACCTGTTGTGGCAAAATAATAATAAAAATACCCGTGAAAGCCAGTATTGACTTGCAAGCTTATAAAATTAGAATTGTTCATTAATGTAGGAGAATATTTTAAGAGAATTGAACCTTCTTCTGAAGAAATATTTACAAAGTCACAACATATGATCAAAAACTCATTCAAGTTTTTAAAGTTTCCAATTCCAAAATTTTGACTTTGAATATACGAGATATTTGAAAAAGAAAAAAGGCCAGATCCATTATCCATTATAAAGTTAGAAATTCCTGAATTAAAATTACCTGAATCAGTGAGAGATGATTCTTTAATTATATTTAATTTTTGTCCAACAGATATGTATGAAAAATGAGTAAAACTATTGCCTGAATAACAGCTTGATGCAAAAAACCTCATTTGCACTACATATGAATCATCATCTCCTTTAAATTTAATTGCGCCTACATCATTTTCGTCAAAACAATTTTTAAAAACGCATTCCAAATGCATAAATTTAAATCCATTTTTCTCGATGAAATCAATTGGATGTTTCTTATATTGATTAAATGAACATCTATAAATAAAACATTTATCATTTATATCCGCCATATTTGGATTTTGTGTGCTGTTATAATCAACATTTTTTATTTCATGAAAATACTTGCTCCAGATATCTTCTGGAACATCATTGGAATATATCACTCTTATTGCTATGTTTATACGAAATATTGGGGCGTATTTGTCTAATTGAAACATCACTGAATTAATTATGTCAAATTTTGCCATTTTTTCCCTTATTTATTTCTAACAGGAGTACAGTGACATAAACAGTAAACTTATTAACTTAGATGTGGGATGCCAAATTTTGATACAAAAAGAGGATTACAAAGGATGGAGCTATTATTGACCGAAAGTTCATGAAGGTCTAACGCCTGTGGAAGTCGATTTTTCACTCTGATTTCTTCAACAAGATTTTCTATTCATTAAAATCAAGAGATGTTTGAATAGAAAGTAAATATATAGTTTATTAAAGATAACTAAAAAACAAAATAATAAAAAAATAAAAAGAAAAAGAAATCAATACAGTTGACTAACAATCTTTTCAATATCATCAAATTTCATGATTTCGAATTGTTGTGTGTTATAATTGTCATAAACAACAATCTCTTGATTGTAATACTTAAAACAATTAGAAATAACTTTCTGAATTGATGAATAATCAATACTAACAAATGGTTCATCAGACATCAATATCTGTGAGTTGAAATCTGTCCTGAAAAGGACAATTGATCTCCACAGAGGATTTGTTTGTTTCTTAGAGTTCAAAGCGCAAATCAAGTCTCTTATAAACAACAGAGGAATTGCATTATCAAGACCTTCACAAACAAAATATAGGGTGTCCAAAGGTGTGTTTAGCACAAACCTGAATACTGCGAATAGAAATAAACAAGTTACATATATATAAAGTTTATTTAAATATAATCACCATTGGATTCAATCACGCGTTCGCAGCGATCGATCCAGGCTTGAAAGACATATATATTTCTAAGATATTATCAGCAGATAGTTCTTGAGGAGCAGAGTCTTTTTCTTGTTTGATGTCATCGATATAAGATGTCGGGAAATGAAACAGGGAATCATAACCTTCATCTAATGATTGTTCAATATGATACATCGCGCATCCTAATATAATCCATAGAACATAAGCAAAGATAGACCAACTCAACCATCCAGTCAAAGAAAATGATAAAACAACATCAGCATTTTCAACTAAATTTGGAAGGTTTCTCGAATGTTTTGATAATTGTTTTATCATTTTCTTTGTGTTTTTGATGTAATTCGATTCATTCATATATAGTTTGTACATCTTTTCTGGAAGGATATGAAATTCTTTTATGTCTTTGTAGATGTTGTTCATGAACTCCAAGTTCTTGTTCTGTTGGAAATTGATGACAATTCCTGAATACAAAACAATTAAATATGTCATTAACCATGGGAAAATGAACATCAAAAGTAAATTGACGTTCAATATTTTGTAGTTACTTTTAGTGTTTTCTATTGTTTTTGTAACTAATTCCATGGTGTTTACTGAATCAGCAGGAATGGTTAATTCATTTGGAGGACTTGTTGCTTCATTTGCTGAGTTCTCGAATATGGAAGAATCACTAAAATCATCTTCAACTTCGCTTGCACTTGCACTTGTATTACTTGAATTACTCGAACAAAGGAAACTCGAATTAGAAGCATTCAAAGCTGTAGGAGGTGTTGAAGAACTAACGAAAGGAGACATCAATGCGAATGTTGCAGGACTCAACATTTGATCAGCTCCCAAAAAACTCACACGAACTTTTGCATCTTTCAAACTAACATGAGGTGTACAAGGAGATATAGAAATGTGTTTTCTTGCAGATGCTTTGATAACATTCAATGTCCTTCTCTCTTTCAAGTTCTGGGTATTAATACTTGGTGGTTTAATGATTGGTTTAGGAATATCATTTTTATCATTCCGAGGAAAAATCAATTGGAATAAATCGCACATTTCCAAAGATTTTTTCAACAACATTAAACTTAATCTTTCATTTGAAGCCAGGAATTGATAAGCCTCTTTTGGAATGTTCTTTAATGAATAGTTGACATTAAAGAATGTTAATGTTAATGATATAAATCCACCAACAAATGAAAGTAACAAAAGTAAAAGTGACAATTTCAAATGAACTTTTGAAAAATTGATATTAAAAATTGTTGAAATATTTTGATCGAAATATTGATAGTTTTTGTTGATAAGATTAAGTGTTTCTACAATCACTTTTGAAGAGTTTGACAATGTTCTACAATCAGATTTCGCAATATACTCCGAATAATAACAAAGAGATTTTGTGAAAAACTGATAATTTTTGTTGACATAACCCAAATATTCTTTTATGTCTTCATATATCATTGGTAATATTTCTTTGCATTTTTCAGGATCTTTTATCTCATTTTTGTATTTGATTAATATAGGTTGCATGATTAATCCTGCACTTAATTTAGTACTAGTGTCAATTGTCTCTGAAACTAAATTTTTGATGTTCATAATTGATTTGTCTCGTTTATCTTGTAATCTCATTGTTTTATCCGAATATAAACATGCCCAAATCAAAGAAATTACGAAAGCAGTTATCAATCCTAATGCTTTAAATCTCTTTGATTTTATAACCATCATTGCAATATTCGAGTTATCTTTGTCATCTTCTCTATAAATTGTTGATTCATCAATATGAAATCGCAATTGAGAATATCCATTTGTTTTCGAACTTCCTGAACCTCTTGAAAAAGTGTCTTCACTTTTAGAAACTTCGTTTTGGAACATTTCATGAGAAAGAGGATAGTATTGTTCGATTTTCTTGAAGATGAAGTCAGGAACAGAATTAGGACTATCTCTTAAAATGTTCGCAAATCTTCTGTATAAATAACTTTTTCTTGGTTCCCCTTGAGCAACTAACAAAATTTCTGAATAAGATTGATGACATAAATAGTCATAATGATAAACATAAACTAAATAGTTAACTAAGTTAATCATTTCTATATGTGTGAAAGCAGTTTTCGTTGCATAAATGAATGCTTTGATTTTTTCATTGTTTTCACGTGCTTTCCAAAACAAAGTTAAGCCAACTAAGAATTCTCTATGCAACTTATCCAAGTTCTCTTGATAGAATTTAGGACATCCGCATTCATGAGCAGTAAATACTCTCTTAAACACGTAAAACTGGTAATTATAGTAAATTGAATTACATTTGAACATAGAAAGCATCAAAGTTAAGCGTTTTCGCTGTGATTTGAATATACCAAGGAATCGAACAACTTCTATCAGTTCTTCTGGATCATGATTCATTCTTAACATCAAGTAATTTTCGAAATTCTCTAAATTCATTTCAGTTTCTGCAACATGACGCATCGCCATAGCCGTAGAAATAGGGAACCACCATGGAGGCTCGTATCCTTCAGACATTACGGGTAATGCATATTTGTTCACAAAAATTTTATACAAAATGTAAAAAATTGTGTGGAAAGCAAATGAAAACAATAAAGCGAAAACGGGGGTGATGAACTTGAAATTGTGTATGTTAGATAGTAATACAAATGGTGCTGCAATTACTGGTGCATCCGATAGGAAGAATGATATAAAACTACCATGGACTCCTTTAGATACTCTTTTCTCCATGACAATGAACATGCAAATCGGATAAACCATGAAGATTACGATTTCCAACATGGAATGGTAATGATTTGTAAGTAGTAATTGGAATGTTACTATTGAAAATCTGATCCAAAATATTAAATGATCAGTGTAGGCATTAGTAAAGTCGAATACGGAGTTAATAATGAAGATTCTAGGTCTAAAGAATACTTCTGATGTATAGTCAAACAATGCAGTGATGAGTAAATTTACTAATACCGATAGAAATGCCAAAAGTAATCGAAAAGAGAAAGAAGTAATTAGCATATCGAAAACTTGATTGACAACGAAAAAGATTTGAATCTGGTAAAGCGGAACTACTAATTCAAGATACATCCTGTAAAAGTAAAGAACGTATTTATGTACATATATGCCCTGAGAAATTTTGTTAGATACTTGAAGAAAATATAATATTACCAGTGAATTCATAATTATCGGAAAGATCGCTAATCCAAAAATGTATTTGGTGTTAAATAACCATGCATTCAGTAAAAGTGCATTATTAAAAATTCTGAAGAGCGTTGGTGAACGCATTGCTATTGAATTTGCGTTGCTAAAGTCCAATAAAAAGAATGTATATTGGAAAAAAAGGAAAAATTCACGAAATGCTTTGACCCAAGAGGGCATGCTAGTTCTATACCGAATTTCAAAGCCAGCATCAAAATGGGCCTCAAGTTTTCCATGAATCATAAAAAAACACCTAAAAAATTGAAAGGTGTACTTTACTTATTGAAAAATCGAAGATTTTATTTATAATAAAACACTAAGTGATATACATTTAAACGCAATTTTTATTTTAATGTAGCGTAAAAATTTGATTAGGTTCACAAATGTTGAAAAGTGCCATTATCTTGGACATAAATTTGGACATTCGGAATATAAATTTACTAATATTATAATCAATAAAGATATGTTTTCTCACAAATATTTGACATTGAAAATCGATTGAAAATGAAACTCTTTAAAAATAGCTACATAGATGAAGTAACTAAAAATTTCAAGGATATGAATAACTAACATGTCATTGAAAAATCTATCGTATTTCTTCATTCTATACCGTTCCTAATGCTCTTATACCATATCTCATGATAATAAGAATTTAGATTTTTTGTATTCAAATTGAATAAAAGTTTTCAATTCAATTTTTTGTTCGACCATTTAGTTAACAGGTTAACCTTTTTGGAGTTGGCATATCAGATTTATTTTTAGAATCGATAGTGTCATTTAAAAATGATTTCAATTCAGATATGCAAACCTGTTAATCAAATTCTCACAGAAACCAAATTGAATTGAAGAATAACTTTAGACTTATCATATCAGTGCAAAATATGAGAACAATGGCCCCAAAATTATACAGAAAAATCCTCGAATAATTTAATTTGGGACAAATCTTAATGAAATGTTCATTGAAGATAAAGATTCATGATACAATTTCAACGCATTTTCCTAACTACGAACCAAATCATCAGAAAAGAAAATAATTCAAAAAACAGACAAATCCAAATCAAACAGGAAATTATTTAGTGACTATAATTATATTTCATCTTTTTACTATGGATGTGCTTAGTTTAGCAAAGAAACTCATTCATTCTTAAATATCTTCAATCAAATATCACCTTAAGTTGAGAAAAAGTACAGCCATAACTAAGGATGTCGTTTGAGACTGAATCTAAAATAATCATATGAATGTTGTCTAATATAAGAATAAAAATCCTTAAAAAAAATTAATCTTTATCGCTTTCGTCTGAATGAAAATGGCAAACGTGGAATGCAATTTGAGGTGTAAGTTGGATATTTTTTATATGTAATTGGATATTTTGCATCGCATAGGTATGATGAATAATGTGAAAGATTAAGTGCTAATTTTATATTTTGCAGATTATCAAATGTTATTTCCCCATTTTTAGCTGCATTATCCTTGTCAATGTATGAATTGCTTACTATAAATGTATTTTCTCCATCAGCAAGTTCGAATTCGTATCCAGGTCCTATGTTTCCAAAAATTGAGCATTGTTTAATTTCAATATTAGATAACATTGAACTAATTGTTGCTTGTGCATCTTCATTTTCTAAACGGCGGTTTTGCAAAATATTGCAATAACGAAGGTAATTATTACTTAAGAAAAGGTATATTATGGAAATATATGTGCTTATATTACAAAATGATGAGAAAATTACGTTTGACTTCTCTGTTGGATTGCAAATAATGATTCCTGAGCCTTCGTACCCTTCACAGAAACTTGTATTGGTCGATTTAACTTCAATATTTCCTGAATCAAGAGAATTTGTATAAGAATTTTCTAAATTTCCACATTCATAAAAAGAACTTTCATGAATATAGTTTTTATTAGTTGATTGATCAACTAATTCAATATATGAATGATGACCATTTCTATTTTTAGTGTTTGTTTTTGATTTGTAGCAACATGATCGATATTGGACAATGGAACTATCACAGTTAAAGTAGATAGCTTCACCATTTGTATCACTATTGCAGTTAAAGAAGAAGGAATCAGAATAAAGAAAATTAATTCCACCTTTTTCGAAATAAATAGCACTGGCATCTGAAATCTGGCTAAATTCACTTTTAAATATAAAGCATTCATTTTTTGTAAGTTTTGGTTGAAGAAATTTTCCGCTCTTTGGATTTGGTTCTGGATAATCCTTATAGAAGAGTTTCCAAATATCAGCTGAGTATGAGTCAAGATGAAAATTGTTCAAAAATTCAAATAGTGGATCTAAAATTGGTTACAACTTAGTTGCATAATATATGTATTCAAAAATTGAACGGTTTGTCAAAAGAAAATGACACTTGTGCTTTAATATTATATATAAATGACGATGAATTTCGTGAATCTACGGAAGAAATCAAAACACTTCAGACAGAAAAGAAGATCATTTCAAAATCGAATACAAAATGCTGCCAAAGAAACTTAAATTAACGAAAATCTATGGACTTTTGAGAAATCCAGTAATTTTAGAAGTTTTTTTTTCCAAATTCCTTGATGACATTTCTGCGAAAGGAAACAGTAAAATGATGTCATTAGCTCGCGAAGAATGACTTTTGAAAAAGACATTAAATAATACTAGAAATATACTTCATATTTCAAATGAAAAAGTAAATCTTGGACTTGTCACATCTTAATTCGAATTGAACTGCGTCAAAAGAGCAAGGAACAAACATTCACAACTCCATTAATTTGTGCAGATTATGATCATCTTAAATATTTTTTTTTATTATTATTATTGGAGTTAATAAAGAAGTAAGAAAGATTGATGGTAGTGTGATAGATTATAATTGTATAATTATTGGTGCCTAGTAATATAATTGTATAATTATATTAATAAAGCATAAATCAACTAACAGAACCCTTAATTGGTGATAAAGCGCTTTTTCGTTTTCTTCTGAACGAAAATGGCAGACGTGGAACGCAATTTGAGATACAAGCTGAATATTTTATATATGTATTGGATATTTTGCAGCGCAGATATATGACGAATAATGTGAAAGATTATATGCCGATAATGTATATACATAGATAATGTATATTCCCCACTTGCATTTGAGTTATCTATGTCAATGAATGAATCGCTTACAATAAATGAATATTCTTCACCATCTAGTTCGAATTCGTATTCAGGTCCTGTGTTTCCAAAAATTGAGCATTTATAAATATAAATATTGGATAACATTGAACAAAATGTGACTGGTGAATATGTTAGTTGGCAACGATAATTTTTCAAAATATTGCAATAATGAAAATAATTCTTACTTAAGATAAGGTATATTATTGAAATATATGTGGTTATATTACAAAATGAAGAGAAAATTACGTTTGACTTCTCGTTGGATTAGAAATAATGAGGAAAATGACTTTCGTCTTCTTTGTTGCTGTTCATGGAATCAAAAAAATTCCGAGGAGAACAAATAAATCTTCAATCAGATCAAATGATTTATCATCTTTCAATTACTTCATATTTTTAATTCATTTGAATTCCAAAAGAAAATCCTCAAATATAAATCATCAACACTTGAGGATAATATGAAATAGAAAAAGTATAATTGAAAACATATATTTATTTATTAATACAATTAAACATAGCTAGCAGCAAGTCCTTCAGGAGTTTTAGCAGATGTTTCTAATTCTATTGAAGCACTCAACACAAGTGGCCTCATGCTACTTAATCCAGCAATAACCCATTGTTTCCTCAGCCACCAAGACAAGTAAATGAATCCAACCAAATCAAGGAACATACCTATTCCAAGAACTAAAGCAATTGGTTTAAAATTCGATGGTATTACTGGAACAGGCGTTTTTGGTGGAGTTCTATGTGGTGTTTGGACGTAAGTTGGCTGCAGAGTGAACAATGGAGTTCTTGGTGGAATAAATCTATAAATAACTGTTGTCGAAGGAATAGGAATTTCCACAGTTTTTGGTGGCTCAAGCATCGACGAAATCAACACCAAAACACCAAAAATATGTCTAATTCTTGGTTTATCTTTCTTTGACTGAATACGATAAATAGAAGAATCCAAGAAAATTTGGGAATCTCCAACTGTCAACAAATCATAACTATATTCATATTCTTCTTCATTTCTCATTACAAAATAAGGAGAACTAAATGATCTGAATGATAATTGTCCTAAATTACTTAATTCCAAATCCAAACTTGCTGATCTATCTTTAACAAAAATCTTAGTTTTGTAGAAAACAATTTCTTGAGGACAAAAATCAATCAAACAACTTGAACTTGAAATTAAATATGGTTGAATATTCGAGATATCAGTGACAGGACCACTCAACTTTCCATTAACAAGAAAAGACGAACTTCCTTTCTTAACCTGTATGTTATTAACAGCTAAATCTGAACAAGACAAAGTTTTTCCATTAATCAAAACATCACAGTTTTTGAGAGTGATTTTATTTCCTCCTGGTTCATCACCATCCATGATTTCATAGTTTCCTCTTTCTGAAGTTGATCCGTGCAATGAAACGTAGTATCTGAAGAATCTTCTATCAATTTTAACTAAAGGAGCTGTTGACCAGAATTTTACGACGTTGTTTTCATCGCAAGTAAGTTTTTCGAAGGAAGGATCCATTTTTGTTACATCAATTTGTGCAGAATAAACTGGACATCCATCAGAAGTATTTTTATTGTTCATTAAACAATAGAAACCTAATCTCTTCCTGTGAACAACAATATTACTAAGATCCCATGATAATTTTGGATAATCATAATATTCAGAATAATAAGTAACAGAATTTGACGGCGGTTTTGTAATGGATCCTAATTTTTCTGATATAATTTCATAGATATTCCATCTATCAGTGAATCTAACATAAGTATGCATTGCACTTTGATCCAAAATAACTGTTGGTAAATAAGGAACAGTTTGTTTTTGTGTTCCATTATAATCCAAAGAAATATGAGTTGCAATCGCTCTGATTGTTACACTTGAAAAATATTGGTAATCAAATCTGAAATATTCAGAAGCATTAGTAGAAATAGTGAAGAATCCATAACTTAATTTCACGCCATTTAAAGGATTAATCAATCTTAAATTCATCACAGAATTTTCTTTCAATTTGAAACCAGAGAAATAATGAAGACAATCTGATGTAAAATCGAATTCATTTGCTTGCAAATCGGTACATTGATTCATAATGATTCTATCATCTTTCATTATCAATTTATCTACTTTGGAATTGTCAAAACCAATCCATAAATTGCAATAACCTTCAATTTCAAGAGTTTTCGGATTTGTAAAGTTCAAATTAATATATTCTGCTTCATGACCTATATTACATGCAATTAAATGAAGATTCTTTCCTTCTATACATTGATATAATGTCAATGGATTTCCCCAGAATGCAAAACTTACTAAAACTAAAACATTTTCTTCAGAAAATTCTAAAGAAGGAAATGTTCTTTGTTTGGAGTAAGTGAATGTTTCCGGACATTTATTTTCGTTTCCATCAAACAAAGCAATCTTTTTAACATCTTTTCCTTTATATATTATTTGAGGAATATTGAATATATCAGGTAATTTTTCCATATTCGAACAAACAAAAACTTTCAAACCAGTTGGTGAAATGATGTCAAATTTGTAAGGTGAAGTGAACGTTTTATCGTTCCAAAAATCACCAAATATTATATAAAATGTTTGATTGATTTCGAACTTGAAATTCGGGAAGTATTTGATGTATGTGTCAGAATTTGTCAAATTTACATCTATCGTCAATGGTAAAACGAGTTTATTTGGTCTTGTAGCTCTCATATAAAAGTTCTTTCCATGGGAACGATTAATTACATAATCACCGATTGTAAAATAATCATTATAAATAGTTACTTTTGGTAATGAATCTTTTTCATCTGCATCTCCAATGAAATCATAATAAATATGAGAACTATAATGACATAATCTAACAACATCATTCAAAGCAATTTTTTCAATATAATAGTTTCCTGTGTAATTTCCTTCTCCGTATAATCTCGATTGGAATCCCAAAAATAGATATTCAACAACAGCATTTTTCATCAATTGAATTGATACTTTAACAGATGAAATTCTTTTGACAACAGGGAATTTCAAATAAACAACAGGAACATCCTCCCATGTTGCTTCAAATTTGATACCGAACTCAGCAAATGATTCTCCTAATATACATGGATGTTCTTCCGTTCCTCCATCAATGTATAATTCAATTGAATCAAAATATTTTTCACCCAATTTGTCAAATTCAATAACTTCACCTTCATGATAGTTATACATCATTTTGAAACTTGGACAATGACTGAAATCATTCTTATACAAGCAATAAGTAGCATTTTTGTGGAAAGTAGTATTATAAGGCGTCAAAAAGTCAAAAATTGTGTCTGGAATGAAACCACTGTATGTTTGGAAACAATAGAAAGAATCATTGAATTGAGATGTGAATTTTCCTTTTTCTTTTGATGGTTTGTATTTCTCTTGGCCGGTTATAGAAGGGAATTTAATATAATTAATATTCCTTCCACCATAAATTTCGAACATGTTTTCTATCATTGATTTATGTGGATATTCGAATATCATTTCGAATGGATAATCAGGTTTATCAAAGAAAGGTCCAATATGGAAATGAATATGTGGAAAATCTTTCCACATAATATAAACATTTGGAAAACTTTTCTCTGTCTGCAAATAAATATAATCTAAATGTGCGACTAATTTCTCTTCAATGCCAAAAAAATACATTGTCAAAAACGCTGTATGACTAATGTTCATAAATTGATAGAAATTTGGATAATTCTGAGTTTCACAATTCACTTTTTCTGTGACATACAATTTACAGCCGTTTTTCATCTCAAAATTCACTTCACCTTTGACTTCCAAATCTCTAATAACAATATTTTTGTCAGACGAAATAAAAGTAACATTCAAATTCATGAAATGCAAATCTATTGGTTTTTTGTCATCTTCATAAAAAATTGACAAATTTTTGATGATACTATTACAAGAGAAATGAATATCCATGTTATTCATTGTTTTTGTAGAGATATTTACAAAACTAGTTGCAATTGTAACTGATATATCATCATCCAAAACTTCGGGTGTTGTCCAGAATTCTTCAGTATACATAACACCATCAAATATCATTTGTCTTTCTTCTAAAATACATGAATGACTTTCTCTAGCTCTATCTTTAAGAATACAATATTTTCCTGAACATGATCCTTTGTAATTCACATTCAATAAACTAAAAATTCCATCTGGAACTGAGTAATCTTCAATCGTTTTATAATATGCTTTGTTTTCTGATTGTAATGTTATTGATAATCCCTTTGGAGAAATGTTTTTCCAGTTCAATGGCATCAAAAATGAAAAATCTGATTTACAATGACCCGTGAAAACAAAGTTACGATTAAAACTCGAAGTCTTATCGGCCGTGTAATTGAAATCAATCTGGAATTTGTCAGGAATGTTCATAATGTCTATTTTCAAAATAGTAAACAAATTGAAAGGAATTGTCAAATTGTCACTTTTGTAAAATTCAAAATTAATTTTATCTTCGTAAAATTCGACATTTAGAGGCAAATGATCTTCATCTAATAAAGATAAACTTAAATCCAAATTAGGATTTGTTTGTATTAAACTCATTGCTGTTTCATAAACAAAGTTATTTGTTACTAATTGATTTACGGAAATCTTTTTTCCATTTGTATCTATTTTTCCATATAATGCCAAGAAATCGAACTTAACAACATCACTATCAACAAATATTGTTATATTTGTTGTGTCAGGAATTGTCAATTTTTGGATGTCACTTTTTGAAATTTGACAATTTGACATTGAAATTCTTAAAATTTTACAATTCAAATTTTTGATATTTAAGTTATATATTTTGTTTGTTAATGCTCTTATTGTTAAAGTTAAGTCTTGGAACGATAAAGTATCAAGTGTCAAAACCGTTTTGTGAAAACCGAGAACGATTAATTCCAAATTATTTTTATAAGGGTAAATACTTTTTTCCAATTTTCCATCTTTGTAATAAACTGTATCCGGATATTCTAAGTGGCCAATACCATCTTCTACGATATGGTAAACACCATGATATATTTTTGTTGAGCATTGTATTTGTTTCGTGTCGATTATAAAAATTGAATTTAATAAATCAGCGGATTCGAAGCTTATTTCTGTAAATCTGTTTTCTTTTGTAATGGTCATTTGTTGTTTGTGTCTTCTAACCGTATTTTATTGTCTACCCATATAATTGGGATATATGCGTAACTTATCTCGGGATTTGTAAAGCAAATGTCAGGTATATTGGATAAAACATCGGAATAAGGTAGTAATTCGGTCATTTGGGATTCAATAAACAGTTTGATTTTTCCATAATTTGAATAAGTGAAATTAATTGTTTGGAATGATGGTCTAACAATTTCAATGCGATCTTTATAGAAGTTTAATGTTGTATGATTCGATGAAAGTTCAACACCGAGGTTTAATTTGTAATTTATTAAGGAATTTTGAAAGATTTTGTAAAAATCGTATTGGACTTCAAGATCTTGTGTGACTATTAAATTAACTTTATCGGAGGAAAATGTGATTTCGTTTCTGCAAACTAAGAATTTAAATTCATAAGTTGGATTGTCGCCAATAAATTCTAAATTTATATTGTTATCGACAACTATTCCTTGCATATGTAAATTATTTGCATGTATTTCGACTGTGACATAGCTACCAGAAAAAATTACATATTTATTCTGTATTTCGGATTCTTTTACGATGTAATTTTCATTGGAATCCCATGTATCTGGAATTTCAATAATGGTAGCCTCGCTTCGAGGTGGAATTGTTGAAAGAGCAAGGAAAATAAAAAACGAAATCATCCGAATAAAAATTTCTGAGGAAAGCAATCACCCCAAATGAGAAATCATATATTATGATGGAGAATGGAAGATATATCACGTGTGTGATCTGTTGTAGTTTGACTCATGCTTTTCACAGATTCTGTACAAATATTTCAATGACATATTTCTTAATTTTTTTATTTGATGAACTAGTATAAGTATAGCAAACCAGTCGTGTTATATGTTGAATCCCAAAGTCATTGACTTCTAATACCAAAAGATTATTTGAATGATAAATTTCATTGTAGCACAGCAAATTTGAATATTAGAAATCAGTTATGTTTTAGTTTTTTAATTAAAATAAACCATTAAAATATCTTAATATGAATAATTAATGAATCTTTGATTGATTTATGCAATTCAAGGACTTCAATTGATACATGTAGATTTAAAACAAGTACATATTGTATTTTGAGTCAAATGAAATCACAATGGTAGAAAGCAATCAAACACATAATCATAACCACAACCATACCCACAATAACATTGCCGAAGATACAGAGGAAGGAACATTTGCTAGAAACTACACTCAGTATGGCCTATTGGTTGTTGTTATGCTTTGCATTATTTGGTTATGGTATTATTTATCAATAGGAATTATGTTATTTGCAGTTCTTGCTTTCTATTTCCTAGTAGAATTCAATTTTCATCAAGTTATGCAATCTCTCACTCTCAAAACTAACGTTTCAATTCCACGACCATTATACATTTTATTCAGTATAATTGCATTCGGAATTTCTACATTAATGTTTTTCATATATAAAGATACAATACCATTTTTGCGTTCAAAAGCAGAAGATACAGCATTTTTCACTGCGTATTACAAATCTATCATATTAACTCTATTCTATTCAAATATTTTTCTAGGAATTAAGCTATTACAACTATCACTAAACATGATGAACCTAGTTGCTTTTAAATGCGGCTTCTACGGAATTATTTATCGATTTATTTTCATCGTTCGAACAGTTGCAGTTACAAAAAACTGGATAGTTTACTTTACAGAAAGTGTTAATATGACAATGACCGATGTAATTCTTTCAAAACATTTATCAATTGCTTCATTATACGTTGCAATCAAATCTGTTTTTATTGCTGGTCTCATATGGGACTTCCATTCTTGTTGGAAGCAATATAAGCATGTGATGAAGCATGCAATTTCAGAATCTTCTGGAATTTGTTCTTTTTGTCAGACTGCTCCTGCTACAATTTCTCTTCTTTGCTCACATAAAGTCTGTCAGACTTGTTACAAGTCACAGATTTATAAAGCTCCGTATTGTAAAACTTGCCAAACTGAAATTGTTCCAACTCTTCAGTTTGCATTCACAGATGGATATTCCTCCATATCATCTATATTTTGTTGTCTTTAATTTTTTATTTGTTTGTTTTATTTTAAAAATATTATTTCGAAATTTGCAAAACTCCATTTTTTCAATCAAAACCGGTTATATTTGAAGATTTCCCTTCTAAATTATTAATTTTCTTCATATTACATCCTTGATTTCAGTAAAATCTTTAATAATCACTTTCTATTTAGCTGAAACAGACAGATAACTTTATAAACTATAATAACCGTATAGAGTTAGACAAATTCAGATATGAATTTGCTTTAATTTTAAGTAATTTATCAAACAATTCTCTTATATAAGGAAAACAAATCTGATTTAAAGCAGAATAAGTAATTTATCTTGAAAAAATTTTACATTAATCTCGTTACAATTTGTATTAAGATTAAAACCCAAACTTTGAATTTATATTTCTGCTTATCATTCTTTTAATCTCATAATACTAATGGTTACTTTCAACATACATCTTATGAATAAGAATTACTAATATTTATAAAGAAAATAACAAAAATTAGAAATATAATTTTGAAGTTGGATCAATTGTACTTTCTGGAACAGCATTCCATACATGGAACTTATAAGCTAATGTATATTTTAATGCTATAAGTAAACTAGTGATTCCATTAGTTTTTCCGAAGTATCCGGTCAAATTATAAGTTTCAATACGAAAACCAAGCATGTGACAAGAGAGCATCAGCTCGTAAACAAAATCTTCATCATATTCAGATCTCATGCCTGAGATAATATGTGTAATTGTCTTTCTAGTTATAGCTGCAATGCCAATGAATGGATTTCCAACGTTTCTGTGTAGTAATTGTTGGAGTATTTGCGAAAGTTTTGTCTTTGAGAAGTTATTATCGCCTGCAACCATAATTGAATTTTGATCTTGGCGTAAAACTTCAGAATACTTAGTATAGAGTTCGCAAATGCTTGAATCTTGAATGTTTGATGTAACAGGGATGTAAATAACTGTTTCTCCTTCAGCAAGAATGCTTCCGAAGATGAAAGGAGCTCCTTTAGCAATAGAGATCGGATTTCTCTGGAGAACTTTAATTTTGTATGAGGGACAAACGTGGTTCTTGATGATTTTAATGTAATGCTCGCTTAGACTGTTGATAATAAAAATAACTTCGACTGAATTGTTTGGATTCATCTGAGTAAGACGATCAATAGCTTTTTCGATAGAATATATTGTTGGTTCTATATCTAAATAATCTCCATCTATTGAAACAAGAAAAGTTGTGCTGTAATTTGATGGCATTTGAAGATTTATGACTAAATTTTGTAATGTTTGTTCATTTTCTAAATCATAAAATAAGAAGATCGGTTGTTTATTAAAAGGAAACAAAAAAATTGTATCAAGAATCGGTTTCTTGTTGGAAATCATGTTAACAACTGCTACAATAAAAGCTATCATGAGCAAAACTATCATGAATACTTGTAGTTTATACGAAATATCAACATATGGAATATATTTATGAAGAGTAAAGATATTCATTGTCACTTTTTAATAAGGAAATCAGTAGTAACGATTCTGGTACACATTGAAATGGATATTACATTTTTATTGGTAGATTTTCTTTCCTTTCTATAATTATAACAACAATATATTACAAATTTAAAAAATTATGCACACAGCATAGTAGAAGTAAAAAGTATAGTTTATATAATCCATGAAGATTATTTAGAATAATTCCTGACGTTGATTTGTATATTCACATTCTATGATATTAATAGCTAAATGTTTTCATTATTGAAGATGTCTGGTTCTTAAAATTATTATTCCCATCTTGAAGTTTATTACGAGAGATGGGAAAGTGTATATAATTATCTGTTTCAGTTTCATACATATTACTTTCGGTGCCTCTTAAAAGAGTACACAAATTGTGCTGGGAAATCAGTCATACCATATGAGCGATATGTAATAGGATATTGAGCATTACAAAGATATGATGAATAATGTGAAAGGTGATGAGTAAAATTGGTTTTGTAATTCTCAATGAAGAAAACATCATCTACTGTTTCTATATTATCAATGAATGAATAACTAACTGTAATTCGATCTTGATTTTTATCTTGTTGCAAATAAAAATATATATTTGCAGTGTTTTCATAGAATGAACAATTCTCAATAGAAACGGCTGCTGCTGCGTATAATATATTCCTTTCTGAATAATGAATAATAATGTTCTTTAAAACATTACAATATTTATAAATATGGTAGCCATTATTTAGACCAATTGTTACACCATTTGATGTATTGTTATAAAATGTTGAATATGTCGTTTTACTGATATCTGTTGGGTTTTCCTGGTATATTCCTGAATTTTCATTTGAAACACAGAAACTAGTATTTGTTGATTTGACTTCAATTTTTCCATATCGAAGTCGATTTGTAATAGAATTTTCAATCTCTCCGCATTCATAGAATGTACTTTCATAAATATAATTTAAATTTTTTGTATTAGAATTTAGTGATACAAATGAATGATGCCCACTACGTTTTGCAATTGATTTATGGCTGCATATTTTATTTTGAACAATGGAACTATCGCATTAAAATTGAATAGCTGCACCATCATCATTAACTATACAATTCGAAAACAAGCAGTCTGAAATAAGAAACTTAATTCCATGATCACGAATTGATATTGGACAATTAGCCGTATAATTAATGAATTTGATCTTAAATACGAAAAAATCTTTGTTTGTGATATCCACTTTAACATTCGTGCCTGATAAGTATTCAGATTTTGGCGATTCTACATAAAATTGTTTCCAAACTTCTTTTGAAGGAGAACAAATATGAAAATGCCATTGATGTGATGCCAATTTGATATTAATTTCTGATACAAACAAGTTAAATGAGGTGAGCGAAAAACATTGCCAAATATAAAATATTGACATAAAATTAGTATATTTCTCAGTTAATAATAGACATTTTGAAATTATTTATTCTAATTTCGTTAAAAAAATTACATATTAAATTTGAAATAATAAAAAAAATAAATATATCAATATTTTAATATCAAAAATATAAATGAGTTGAACTTTGAATTTAATATTCGGCATAAAATACTGATTATATGGATGGCAAAAATAATTCATAGAGTTATTTCAAAAAGTCAAATAATAACAATCATAATTATTAATGACCTATAGATTTTAAATAGTGCCTTTTCCAACTGAATTTTAATGAAAAGTAATAGATATTCTTGTACACATTTATATAGTGATGACATGTTAATATAAAGTGAAATGTGATGTTTCAAGTTTAACATATGTTTGGATTTAATTTTCTTTCTTTTCTAGTGCCTTCTTCTGAATATTCTTCTATATATAATTAATGATTCTGTGGAGGATATTTCTGAAAAAAGTAATTGGGAATTCAGCTTCACAAACAAATGATGAAAAATGAGAAAGATTTGTAATAGATGGGGCCTTGTCATCAATATATTTTGTTATTACTGATCCGGAAGATTTGAATCTATCACAAAAAGAATTTTTCACATTAATCTCACCTGTTACAACTTGGCAAAAAATTACAGCTGTATCTGAATTACCTGAAAACGAACAATCTTCAATACGAACGAATGAATACACACAATAGAATATACCGTATCTTAAACTAGGATCTATATTATTATTAATTACGTAACAAAATTTAAAACTTGAATCACTATTTTGATATTCTATAATATTATTTATCGAGGTTGTGTTACAAAAAGATGAGTAATTTAAATTACATTCACCTACTGAATACATTATTAGAATTCCTGGGGCAAAATCTGCTTCACAGAAACTTGTGTTTATTGACTTGACTTGAATATTTCCATTGATCAAATAATTTATAGCTTTATTTTCAACATTATCGATACTGCCACATTCATAATAGGGATGCGTTAAACACGCCATTTGACCGGGCGTACATTTTTTTTGTTCGCCCAAAAATTTCGCCATTTGAGAAATTCAAAAATTAAAAATAAAATTTTAATCTTGATTTTTTTATTTTCGTGATTTTTTTGAAACTTACATAAGCGATGAAATACTTTTTTTAAGTAATCGTTTATTATATATAAATATATCTTAATAAATTTAATTCCTTAAGGTAGAGCGTGTTCAAATTTAAAATCTCATACAATATTTTCTTAATGGCGTATTTTTCTGAGGTCGCCCAAATAAAGGCGAATTCAAAATTGAGAACTCCAAGGCGTATGGCGAGTATTCAAAAAGTACGCCACTTACAAAATATTGAATGTGGATTATCAATTTTTGGCGTGTTCAATTTCAAATTTTGATATTTATGTTTATTTTATTCAGTATAATGCTAAGAATTAAAATATAAAATTCATAGAATTTTTTTCTTTGAAAATATTTTACATTTTTATTAGACCACTCCTAGACTAGTCATCAGGTTATCCTCAGATCATCCTCAGACTACTCCTTATCAGATTACTCATCATCCTCAGACTACTCCTTAGACCCCTCCTCATCAGACTACTCCTCAGATCTTCCTCATAAGACTCCTCCTCAGATCTTCCTCCTGAGACTACTCTTCAGACTACTCCTTAGATTCCTCCTCATCAGACTAGTCCTGAGACTAGTCCTCAGACTACTCCTGAAACTACTCCTCAGATTATCCTCAGACTCCTCCTCAGATTATCCTCAAACTACTCCTCAGTCTAATCCTCAGACTCCTCCTCAGATTATGCTCAGATTATCCTCAAACTCCTCAGACTACTCCTCAGACTCCTCCTCAGATTATCCTCAGACTCCTCCTCAGATTATCCTCAAACTCCTCCTCAGATTATCCTCAAACTCCTCAGATTATCCTCAGACTCCTCCTCAGATTATCCTCAGACTCCTCCTCAGACTACTCCTCAGACTACTCCTCAAACTACTTCTCAGATTATCCTCAAACTCCTCAGACTACTCCTCGGTCTAATTCTCAGACTCCTCCTCAGATTATCCTCAAACTCCTCAGATTATCCTCAACCTCCTCAGATTATGCTCAGATTATCCTCAAACTCCTCAGATTATCCTCAAACTCCTCAAATTATCCTCAGACAACTCCTGAAATTACTCCTCAGATTATGCTCAGATTATCCTCAAACTCCTCAGATTATCCTCAAACTCCTCAGACTACTCCTCAAACTACTTCTCAGATTATCCTCAAACTCCTCAGACTACTCCTCAAACTACTCCTCAGACTACTCCTCAGATTATCCTCAAACTCCTCAGATTATCCTCAGACTCCTCCTCAGACTACTCCTCAAACTCCTCAGATTATCCTCAGACAACTCCTGAAACTACTCCTCAGACAACTCCTCAGATTATCCTCAAACTCCTCAGATTATCCTCAGACTCCTCCTCAGACTACTCCTCAAACTCCTCAGATTATCCTCAGACAACTCCTGAAACTACTCCTCAGACAACTCCTCAGATTATCCTCAAACTCCTCAGATTATCCTCAAACTCCTCAGATTATCATCAAACTCCTCAAACTACTCCTCGGTCTAATCCTCAGACTCCTCCTCAGATTATCCTCAGATTATCACTTTACATATATATATCGATAACTAAATAATTACTTATTATACTTTCTTTATTTTTTTTTAATTTTAAAATAATATTAATATATCTTTCTACGTTTAATGATGAAAAGAGAAAGAGGAGTAAAAAGAGGAAAGAGAAAAGAAAGAGAGAGAGAAAGAAAGAAAAAAAAAGGATGGCGATAATTTTGTATTGTTTTGTTATTCGGCCGAATGGCGTATTATTCTATTTTTAAACGGTCATGGCGTAAAACCGTCGCATCCCTATTCATAAAAAGAACTTTCAAAAATATAATTAAAAGTTGAAATTTGCCGATTTAAATCTATGTATGAGTGATGACCACATCCATTATTTAATTTAGTTTTTGTTTTATAACTACATGTACGATATTGAACAATAGAGTTTTCACCTTTAATGTGGATTGCACCACCATTGGTGTTACTAATACAATTATTAAAAATACAGTTGGCATCAAGAAATTTTATTTTACTTATAACTAAAAAAATAGAACTATTTCCAATTATATCGATGAATTGACTATTATATACGAAGCATTTTAGATTGTTTGCAATTACTTCGACGTTTTTGCCCTTGATAATTTTTGAATTAGGATGAATTAAGTAAAATTGCTTCCAAGCATTAGTTGCATATGAATCGAAATGGAAACATCGTGTTTCTAGCGTAAGTTTGACGATATCTAACAATATCTTCATCACAATTGCAATGCACAGAGAATACAATTGAGAGGAATGACAAATATAAATTCTATAAGCTGTTATATGCGATTTATCGACTAGTATATTGGTGCTGTATATGATTATTATGTGTTCTTTTGGAGGCAGAAGATTTTAATATAATAATTTTGCGATCGCCTTAATCTCAACAAACAAATGCAAAACTAAGCATACCCCATGAAATAAATATATTATTTAACGAAATAATGATTTTATTACCAATGTGGATAGAGAATTTCGTAAAATGTTGATTCTTGAATCGAAAATGAAAACATATGTGTGAGTTTTGTGATATAAATGATTAGTATACACACATTATTTGTTCGATTTATAGGAAATTTGATTTCATTGAAAATTCTTTACAAATGAAATGAAAAATTGAGCGTTGAATTGAGTAAAAATGAATTTTTTACTTGCTATTTTGGATTCAAATAATATTTGATAATGAATATAGAGTACTATTATAATCTCGGAGTCATTCCATTCAATTTTGAATGCTTTACAAATTGAAAACGAACCCGAGCTTATAGTGGTTATATGATGGTTGAAAATTTTTAAGCTCTGGTTCGAATACGATATTGTAAAAACTGCCTGGAATTGCCAGTTGAACCTGGGTACTTTGCTTTACACATATATGATGAAAAATGAAAAATTTTATGAATAGAATACATATTATAAACGTTATTAAGTATTACCAATCCTTCTGTTATAATGTTGTCACAGAAAGTATCATTAATAACAATCGTTGAATTTGATACACTTCCAAATTCATAAAATGCTTTGTTGCCGAGAAATGAACATTTTTCAATAAGAACCATCGCATCTAATGTATATATTGTAAATGATTCATCTGTATGTATTAATGATTCATCATCTGCTATTGTAAATGATTCATCATGAGTTATTGTATTATTCAATACATTGCAAAATTTAATATTACAATCGCCAAAATATAATCCAATGGATTTCCTATGAGCAATTAAACAAAAGAATGTGGAATAAATTGCTAAACCAATACTTGTTGATTCAGCAATAGAAATTCCCGAATTTGCTTCAGCCAAGGAGAAACTTGTGTTGATTAATTTTACTTGGATTATTCCATATGTAAGAATATTTGTATATGAATTTTCTAAATTACCGCATTTGTAATATGACGATTCATAATGATAATTTAGGTCATTTGAATTTCCACGTAATTGAATATATGAATGATGTCCAAGAAAGTTATATGTATTTGATTTGAAAGCACAAACACGATGGTGTACAAATGAGCCACTGTCTTTAAAATATATAGCTCCACCGTTATTGCGACTACTACAATTTTTAAATAATGAATCTGAGATTAAACATTTTACTTGATGACTTTCGAAAAATATGGAAGATCTTTCACTAATTCCAATGAACGTGCATTTGAATATATAATATTCTCCATTGGTAATGTTTGTATCAATGTTTTCACCAATTAATGGTTCTGAAGTTGGTGTGCTATTATAAAAGAGTTTCCAAACATCTTTTGAAGCAAAATCGAAATGGAAATGCGTAACATATGATCTAAATCCGGTAGTGATTTTTAAAAGTCGTGAGTTTTGGATAAAAAAATTGATAACCATTTTTTATTTAATTGAAATAAAATGGCAAATTTTATGACCCATGAATATTCAAGTAATCTATGACTATTATGAAATGTGATATTATTGACATGACTTATTTGAAAAATTAGTGATTTGAATAATTTTGATTTTCAAGTAGTATATGAGTGCGGGTTTAGTGACTTTTTTTGTTACATCTATATATAGACGATGCTTTAAAATATATTTATTTATAAATCATTAAAAAATTAACATTAATTTTAAAATAATTTATTTTTTTATCTTTTATAAAAGAAGCTATATATAGATGATGTCAGATATTCCGCGATTAATTAAACATTGTTTAAATCCTGAATGGGTTAAACTTCAATTTAAAAATGAAGATTGTGAATTATTAAATGAATATGAAAGCCAAAATAAGCTAATGAGGTATAAATATAATGATAAAGAATATTTAATTTCATGGAATCAATGGAGTCATAATCAAAGACCTCATAAACGGGAAGAAGAAATTGAAAATAATGAAATGGAAATCATTGATGACATTAAAGAGGATGGAATTCCTAAATTTTGTAGAAAAACCTTTAGAACTAAGTTAGGAGCATATAAACGTAGAGTATTAAATCCTGAATACATAAAACATTTATTTAAAAAGGAAGACTGTGAATTATTAAACGTTAATGAATATGAAAATGCTAAATCAAAATTGAAATATAAATATATTGGAAGTGATGAAAGGTGTAAAGATAAAGATAAAGTTTATTCAGTTTCATATAATAACTGGCACACGTTAGGGATAAGAAAACATTTAGGAGATTATGGTAAAAGTTCTGAATTCTTTAAATCTAGTATGTACGAGAGAGTAAAAGAAATTAGAAATAATTATTTTCATGAATGAAAAATAAACTTTAAAAATTCATGTCTTACATTTTTTGAATAATTTATTTTTTTATTTAATGATAAATGAGCGTCAAAACTAACAACGTTAAGAAATTGGGATTCACAAATGAGGAAATAAAGGATATATTAGAGGAAGCGGGTTATGAGGTTAGTAAATATTATTTAAGAAATTGTCAAAAATTTGCCGAGTTATTAAATGATTTAGATTATGATGGAAAAATGAATAAAGATGATGTTATAAATTTTTTATATCCTACATCTGAAGAAGAAAAACCTAAAGAACCTGATGTTTTCCCTGAATATTATGAAGAACGGATTAAAGATGATGAATATGATGAAATTGAAAGACTGGAAAAAATAAGAGATGAAATAGATGAAAAAATTAAGGAATTAAGAGAAGTTGAAAAATATAATGAGAATGAAGTAGAGGGTTTAATGAATATCCCAGCTTCAGAATCAGAAGTACAGAAATCTCATGAAGAAAGATATAAAAATTACTTTTTGGAATCTACTAAAAATTTATTAGATGGTGATATTAACGAAACACTTTCAGAAGAAGGTACTAAATTTATTCGTAAACATAAGCTTCAGTTTATTGACGATGGAGATTATCCATGTATATTACTTTCACCTCCTCTTGATTCTGAAAAATTCAAAAAAGCATTGAAAAACGTGACATATGCAACAAATACGATTAAGAAAGAAGATCATGATATTTACACAAATTATTATTTAAATAAATGCACAGGTGTTGATAAAGTTTTTGAATTATTAGATAAAATATCAAAAGAAACCATTGGAACCTATAAAATTTTGTGTGATTGTGGTTTCATTATTGAAGATACCAATAATGTTTCATATGAAAGAACAGCACCGAAGGAAGACGAAGTGGAAAGGTCTATACCATTCGTTATTAAGAACATAAAAGATATGAAAACTTATAAACATTATATTTATTCATTTATTTCAGAAAAAATGGAAGCAACCCATAAAACATCATCTCATCATTTTATAGCTATTCATACATTCCTTTTCAAAGTTGTGAAATTAAATAAGACAGGAATTAGATTTAATGTATCAGGGTACGCATTCTTGAGTAAATTAAAATGTATTCGTCACGTCGCAGATGAAAAATTTATGTGTTCTTAATTCATTTTATGGACTTTAGCCCTGGACTCTCTGAGTCTCGGACTTTAAAAAAAATAAACTTTATTTTTATTTATTTTTTTAATTTTTATTCTTACATAAATGAACAAAAACGGAACAGCTAAAATGAATGATAATCAAATAAGAGCAGAAGGTAGAAGGTTATTTAAACGTTTCTATAACATTCCTGATGGTGTTAATCCTAAAACTCGTAGAAGCTATTTAAATGAAGCAATAGATGCATATGAAGGGTTTGACATTTCATCAGAAAGTGAGAGGTTAGCAAGAATGTTAAACGTTAATATTGATTTTTATTATTGTGACCCTCAACCAGAAGACGTAGACATTAACAAGGTAGACTTTCTATTAGTGGAATCAATAATGATAGATCCAGAATTTGAAACAGTAAATATTTTATTAACACAGAGTCCATGTGGAAAACTTCACGCTGACAGAATAACAGACGTTGAAGCACTCACAGGATATAAAGTTTGCCCCTTTTGCAAAGAAGAAGTTTATTCTATCCGTGATGACCCAGAAAGGAAAAACCAAAGAAGATTTTTAAAGCATTGTGAGAAATGTAAAGAAAATAATGGAAGATTAATTCAAGACGTTCAATTGCAAAAGACACAGCAACCATATGCACCACATATCACG